ACAATAAAATATAGAAGAAGAAACAAACACATGTTTGAAAGTCATGTATAATATAGAAAATTTGAAACAATCTATTTGATTAAAACACTTATTATATAATATTATTATGTTTGAAAAACATTTACTATACATATCGTAAATATGTGATTACTATAATATATACCAATTTACAAGTGAAAACAAAATGTTTATATAACTAAAAACAAAATGTTTATATAACTATAAACGAAAACAAACACCCGCGCGGTTGCGCGGGTCAAAATCTAGTACTATTTTAAAAAGTTAGTTTCATATGTACGTGTCCATGTTACTTGTCACAAAATTTAATTACATATATACATTAATAAATGAATTTCTTATGATTAGTTGTTTCATCATCAACACTAACATACAGAACTAAGACTCTGCAAATCAAACTATTAATTTTACATCTATATATATGATAAATAATGGTTCTTTCTTGGTATTGCATGTGAAACTGTCCATCTTTGTATTTTGCGTTTTGAATATATGAATAAATTTAGAATAGTTGAAACTTTATTTCAAAATTTTAATATCTTTCAAATAACAAACAAAGGCATGTTGTTCTTATATTCTGAAATTATATTCATTAATTGAGAAAATTTCGTTGTAAATGTGATATGAAACTATCGTCAAATTTTCATACATTTCATTGACTAGATGTTCGCTTCTATTTCTGAAAGAAGTGATGAAATGCTGGTTTTCGTGTTTCTTATACCCTTATTAGTCCCTTAAAGCCTTCTAACGTACTATACCAACTTTGTTCTGAATAATTATCATGATCTTCTCAAAAGCTGGGGTCAACTATTGGACCCAAATACGGCCGTTAGCTGAAATTAACAGGCTTAAATAATAAGGATTGATAATGGGTTATTATAAGCCCATTAGCAGTTAAGTTTTAAGAGTTGAGAAGAAGCCGGAGGCTATTTAGCTCAGGAAAGAAAGATTAACAAAACAGGTCACGGAAGAGAACTCCGGACCTCATTCACTGAGAGCTAGTAAGTAGCTCAGGATGGATGCGCAGGACCCGGTCAAAAGGAGACTGTTGAGAATCCCTCAACTCACGGAGCAAATCTCGGAGATTAGCTGAGATCGTTGAAACATGATCGCGAGCTATAAAAGAGGAGTGGGAGATCGAAGCAAGGGGGCCGGATTTTGATTCATTATTATTCACACATTCATATACTCTAAAAACATTCCTTTATTTCTTTGTAATCTCAGATCGAACATTTGTAATCTTCTTTTATCAGAAACATCAATACAAGTCATATTCATTTTTTAAACTCTATCCAGCCCACGATTATTTTTTCTCCAATTTAAATCTAACTTAAATTAGGAAAGTGAATTTTATCCCTCACAGTATTCTACCAAAATAAGAAAGGGCAATAGATGAAACAATCATAAAAAACCTATAATTCACAAAGTAACTAAAATCACACTCGTTCTTCTCTTTTTTCTTCCATATCTCTCTACGAAACTAATTTATCTTCTTTTTTTTGTGTGTTATTTCACAAATAACCCAATAAAAAAATTGAAACATGTAGCAGTTGAAGTGACGGAATCTTAAGACAAAAAAAAAATGCATAAACACAAATATATTAACGATCAGAGGACATAATATAAAAGTAACAAACATGTATGCGCATACTAGATTTAGTTAAGTTTAAAACCAAAAAGATAATCCTCGAATGAAGCAGAAACGATTGTATCTAATTAACAGGGGAAGAACCATCGAGCATCGGAGAAGCCTACTGAGGAGACAAGGCTTCGTGGCACATGCTCTGTGGTTCGAGTGCGGAGATCATAGACAAATACATGCATGTATGGATCCTTATAATGATCGATGCCACTGAAGTAGATGGAGTTTCTCTTCATCCCTGCAGGGATGATATCTTTGGCGACAACAGTGAAACCCATGTCCAAGACTAGAGCCTCATCACCTAAATCATCCACTTTTTCGCATGTCTTAGTCAGAGGATCGTACTCGTAGATGCAAAACTGCCATATGGAGTCCTGCATCATACAAGTTACAAACAGAAGTTGTCCAGATACTCTGGTTGCAATCATTCTATTGAAGTGAAAAGCCTTATTCCAATCGAGTGTGCCATCATCGAAATTGGTATAACTCGCGACATCATAAGGCAAAACATGATACCAAATCTGGCGTGGGATATCACCAGAGAAATCCCAAGCATAGACTATAAAAGATGAGGCGGTAGTAAAGTAGACCATGTGATCTTTGCAATTATAGAAAATTTGTTCAGCCTCCTGTCCATGAACAATGCTAGCGGTTCTCCACCTTCCATCATCTTTCCTAGTGTAAACCATAGCGTCATGCAAGATCCAAACGACTAGGTAACTTTTGGTTATGCTGTCTACCCAGAGACAAGCTACGCATGGTTGTTTGATGAAGTGTCTATATAACGAAGAGTACTGTGGTAGATCGATTCTCTCTAATGTCAATGGATTGATAATTGTATAGATCACGAAAGTGGTCAAGCTTCATCAAGAGCCAGCTACCGTAACTCGCAACACAATGGCTTCGTGTAAAGTTAGCCCCGAGATCTCGTGTCTTGTAAAGATTCTCTTTATCATCCGGAACGAATAAAACACAACTATTATTGTTACTATTGGTTTGGTTCTTTTCAGGGAAGAGTATCAGCCAAGGAATCTGATTTCGCTTGGGGACGCAGCCTCTCGAAGCAGAGTTCCATGACCTACAAACTGATTTAGCTCGCTTCAGATTTGTGAAACTCAATCTTTGGAAAACACTTCGTAGCATGTCCGGACAAAGCTCCGACCACTTGGGAATCATTGGAGGATTACTCTCGCTCTGATCCATAGCTAAACTTGTTTGATACGCAAAACGTTTTTTTTTTTTTTTTTTGGATCACGAGTCCCCCCCCCTTGCTTCCTATTTATAGATGATCCCCAGAATTTCATAATTATCTTCAACAAAAAATATCCTTTAACTATAGAAACGAAACATAAAAAAGGAAAATCTATTCCCCTTCCTTTCTTTTACTTCCATAGCTTTTTGAATTTTTCCATTTTGTAAATCAAAATTATATAAATTATACTGTTAGGAATATGTTGTTTTATTAACTTTAAAAAATAATAAATACATTTTTAAAAAATATTTTACCTAAAAATTACTACGTTGTTAGATTTATTTTGAAAAAGAATATGGTTTCTTTTCTTTCTATTAGATTTTTGGTATATCAAGAATAATTCTAAATAAATAAAAATGATAAAAACAATATAATTTATTTATAATATATAATTTAATTAAAATTTTATAATATGAAGGAGAGTAAATATCTTATAGCATTTATCATCTTGTTAAATTATATGATTAAAGAGAAATTATCAGTTTAATAATTAGTAAATTTATAAAGGGTAATGAATATATTGTAGAAGCTCCTTTTTAGTCGATTGGTTTGATCAAGATATTCATTAATAACCTATACACCATCAAATTTATAATTTAATAATAAGAAAAGCGATTAATTAACAATTATGTTGATCAATAGAAAATGAATTGCAGTGGATTTGGTGCACCTAGAACTGTTAAACTTGAATCATCAATATGCAAAGAAAGTTCGACATGAATCCTTTATCATCTTGATCTTAGATCCATTATCATCTTGATTCATTTGTCCCTCTTTAATAGGTTAGTGGATACATTTTAAAGAAAACACGAATGTAGATAAGTATTATTTTATTTTGGATAAATCTAAGGTATTTTACGCATTAATTATTTTATTTTGGATAAATCTAAGGTATTTTACGCATTAATCCCACAAATCTAATACAGTACTCATTTACTCCATTTTGTGCATTTGGGGAAGTTTACATGATATCATTCTGTTCAACCAAAAGACAAACTGAAATTCAAGAAAAAAAATGAAGAAATGGAACTTTCAAGTTTAAAAGATTAATTGAAAGGAGGAGGTACTATGTATATACATATGTATAGATAAGACCCACCTTATAAACTTAGCCACCAAAGAGAAGCCCAAGACTCAAACAAAAAAAAAAAGTCACTTTTATGTCTCTATATTCCAGTTTCTAAAGCAGAAGAGACTCAGAAAGCATAAGAGTCTCTCTTATCAATCTCAATCAAGCTTAAGAATACTTCCTTCACAACTGAGATGCAACATGAAGTTTAAAGCTCTGTCCCCTCATAGTTGGTGAAGCAGCTCTGCTTGAGGAAACGTCCCATTTGACGGCAAGTCCAAAAGAAGGAGATCTTGATCAGAACTGCTGCAACTACCTTCATAACCACTTTCTTGCGCAAACACAGAAGCCAAGCTTCTTTGGCTAAAGCATGACCCATTGTTGCTTTCATGGCTTGCTTTCATCTTCGTTACACTTTTAGGGCTCCTCATTAGTCCTCTTGACTCTGTAACCAAAAACAAGAGAATCAACAAACACACACAAAGATTGCTAGCAGAATCAACATAACAGATGAAAACGTGCATAAGACTGACCTGACTTTGATTGAGTTTGGTTTTCACAGCGTCTCTTAATGGTTACAATATGTTTATGTGCATTTGGGTTTGAACTTCTTGAAGTTGTAGTAACAGACCCTTTCTCTCCTTTCTGCAACAAAAGCATCCATAAACCTTTAGCCAAAAGTTAATTATTATTATTATGTCAGTGTTTCAAATAAGATTAAGCCGCCGCACCTTGAGGAAGTTATAGCTTTCCACCAAACGAGATTTGCGAAAATCAGACAATGCAAGCTTCTTTAGAGACTTTATGTCTTCCAGTTTTGCTTCAGAGGTAGAAGGCATCTCAAAGACACCATCTGCAATAAGTTTCTGAAAGAAAGAGAAGTTCTCTTTGAACTGAGCACTTTCAAACATCATTCTGACGCTGCAAAATTAAAACATGAAGACATTAAAACTTTATTCAGTTAAGTTTTTAAACTAGCAGTGCAATTCTAACCTTTCATGAAGGTTAACAGAGTCAATCTGAGGAAGTAATCTCATCAGTTTCTTCTGTTCTTCCTCTGTAAACTGTTCTATGAACTCATCAAAGTTGAAAACATCCTGCAAATAAAGTATATCTTTATCATGCAAAGGCCACATAAACCTTTACTTGATTTGACTTCCATATACTTACCTTCAAATCTATGCTACAGAGTGGTGAACTATGGCTCCCCAGGACATGGACTCTTCCAGTCCTAAAAACATTTTAAAAGAAAGATCCATTTTACTGTCTTTCTTGACTCAATTATGAGCTTAATATATTCGAATACTTCACCTCTTGAGTTGCTCTTCCTTTACTGCTTCTCCAACAGACACTGAACCTCTCTTTGTTTCAATCTCAGCACGCTTCACGGAATGTGAGTATGCATCACTGATGGATGATGACTTGTTCTCAACCGAAGAGAGGGAGCTGGCTTCTTCAGACTCCTCTTCCCTAGCTGGATTCCTCATCAGAACACTCCCATGTCCAATCTCTACAGAGACCATAGACAACATTTCATTCTCAAAAAGAAGATCATCTTCAATTGAAATTGACGATTGCTGCTCTTGTAGTATATTGTAAAGGTCTTGTGTGAGCTTTTCAACAGAAGAAGATGCCTTTGGACGCCCCACACACGTCCTCCTCTTGCAAGGAACAGTTGTCTCCCACGCGCTAGATTGAGATGGACCTGTTAACTCGCTCCCATCTGCACTACTAAACTGTGCACAGCTCTCAGAGTTGGATATAGCAGAACCAGAACTTGATCTATTACTAGTATCTTCCTCTACCACAGCCTTTTTGAAACCATAGTTGAATTCCAAGAGAGGTTCTTGAATTGCTTTCCTCTTGAGCATCTTCTTCGTCTCTGTGTTCTTGTAATTTACAGAAATGCTCTTCATTCTTTGATACTGATTCTCTTCACCATCAGCACGAGAGTGAAGAGGAGTGTAGTTCACAAGTGATCCCTTTGTTCTCCAACGAGATCCACACGCATTGCACAACACTGGCTTCTCTGGTGGACCATTTCTCCACAGAGGTGTGCCTGTTTCAATCCAGGAGCAAAATGTCAACAATATTTTTCATTCAGACAACACTTGAGTTTGTGACTTAGACAGCAAATTCAAACTCCAAATCAAATTAAACAGTTTCATTTTCATTTCCAGTAAAGAGACAATGATCTCTAGTTTACCAAACATCTTAAAAGTCTTTAACTTTAACCAAAGCATAGATGAGAATCATAACACACAAACTCAGATCTCCAAATCAACTGAGAAAGTTTGTCTAAATCATAGTGACTCAGAAACAGAGACCAAGATCATTGATCAACAAACAAACCAAATACATATTGTTATAATTTAGAATGCTCATTTCATGTTCTTGAGTACATGAAGTCTTTGCTGAAACTATTCAATGAATTGTTACAATTTATTAAAACTGAAGCATGTAATGAAATCATTTTCCCCAGAAAGAAAAAATGGCATCTCATCCAGGAACAGAGAAAAAGTGAAACTCTTTTATACAGATTTTCTCATTATCAAACTGAAATTGGAGATTACAAGAACTCACTTGTAACGCCACAGTGGTAGCAAGGTCCTTGCTTCCCCATAATCTCTGTCTCTTTTGTTTTCTTTTCAAAAGTATAATTTCAGAGAAAAGTTGCAATTTTTATAGACTAAAAGAATGAGTTATGGAAATAAATTTAAAGTTTATAGATTTTGTTTAATATTGACGTATAAATTGAATATACAAAAACTGCATAAGAACATATTAAAGCCAAGAAGGAAAAAAACCAGAGAAAATCCAGAATTTTTTTTAAAAAATCTGAAAACTCCAAAACAGTTGCTGATAATTTAAAATAAAATCAAGGCTGGGAATTTTTTTAGTTTGAAGAGATAATTTTGTTTTTCTTTCTTTTCTCCTGTTTTTTTTTTGTTCCTTGAGCTATCAGTCTAACACAATCCAATATAAAAAGAGAAGAAGACTCTTCAGAGGAGAAGAATCTAATAAATGGCTGTGGAAAAAGGAAATGAGAGAGAAACAAACTTAGAGCGAGAAACTCTTTTGTAGATATATTGGCTTTTTTTTTTCTTCTGAACTTAATTATATTGGCTTTTTCAATCTTTTATTTGTATTATTATGAAGTTTGATAGAAAAGTAAAGCATGTATCAAATAAAGTTTTATCAATAACATTCCGCAATTTCATCTTTATAAAAAGAAATAAATAATGCATCAAATCAGTTTTTATCATTAATATTATTGTTCAAAAAAATTGCTACACTATAGTTAAACATTTTATAAACTTAATTTTATATAAATTTAACGAGTACGTAAATTATTTAGAATCTAAATAATATCTAAACGTTAAAGAATTATCCTTCTATTTTATATGTATATCTGTAACTTTTAATTTTAATTATAAAATATGTCGATGAATTATAAAATATTTGATATACATGATGAATAAATTGGATAATTTTGGCATTTGCCATTAATTTTAATATTTGCAATAAATCATTTAGAAAGATTTAAAAATGATTTAAAATTAATTATATTGATTAAATAATTAAATGGATTTAAAAATTATTTAGGGTACCTAATTAAAACTAATTCCAGAATGACTTAATTAAAATGATTTTGGAGGAATATAATTGCTTATGCCTTTTATTGTTCCTTCTTTCTTGTTGACTTTAGACTTCTTGTACTTCATTGTTTTTATATTGGTATTTCCAACGTATGTAATAAATATAAATAACGACAATTATATATTAATGACTGTGAATAAAAAGATAAAATGAGGAATAACGAAACCAATGATTCCAGTAAAATATTCATATTAGCCATGTATTTGTAAATAGGTCTCTCTCTCTCTCCAAAATGGCTGCTAAATGGTCATATATGAAGTGTATGCAAATCTTTTATGTTATCTGAGACTATATGAAAATATACGGGAATATACCATATATAGTCAAATTACTAAATGTTGTTGTGAAAAAAGATTTAGTAAATGTCATATATTTATCATCTATTTTACATATGACATCGGTGGATTATCACTTGACTCTGTCTGTATTTCCTCTCCAACAAAATAAAGTAATAATAGATTGTAGATTTTCTCTACCTTAAGAGAAAAGTTTATAATACTTTTTTGTCAGCGACGAACTAGTAAACAAAGAGATTAATTTTCTTTTGTTTCTTTTTATGAATAAGATTATTTTCGATATAAAAGTTCATTTTTTAGAATAGAATAAAAGAAAATATGGAGCAAAAATATTTTTACTCTAATCTAAATCTCACTTTATAATAAAATAATGAATAAAAATACCCTATTTTTTAGAGTAAACTTTTTAGTTGAAGTGTTTTTTCATTCTATATTCCATTTTACTTATTAATACATTAGATATAGATAGATTTTTAGTCTATTGTTTGATGTAATCTCCTTTGTTTTTATTCCTCGGTTATGTAATGTGAAAGTTGATTTTGTGGTTATGTCAGCTTTTGCTATTCTGAACCTTTCTTCTCTTATGAATAGTAGTAATTCTTTAATTTCTAGTAACTAGTAATAAAAGTAGACGTGGATTAGAGATGTCTTTATGACCTTTATTCATCTTTGATGACACGATGTTGGTAAACATAAATGTTTTTTCATAAAAAGAGGAGATTCAGAAAGAAATGGCAATGTAGAGTCACCGTCCACCATGATCATCATGGACGCAAAACTCCCCTCTCCACCGTTTGATTTAGGATAGATAAATTTAAAAAGATTGGTCCCACGTTTTGTATTTCTTTTGGTGATTGTGAATGTCATTAGGGAACTAATTCTGGCGAACAACCATACATTATTACGTGTTTACTTTTGGATTCAACTATGGTACATGGTATGACTTTTTGTATTGTGAAACCTCAGATTCTTTGTTTTCTTTTCCGTTAATTAGAAAAACAATAAGTGTGATCTGGCATAGTATTTGAAAAGAAGATTATATCATGCATGAGTTTTTATTTTGAATTACATTACATAATGTGATGTTGATGCCTATTTGATTGAACGCTGTAAATTTTAGCAAAATCACATACCAAGATACGAAAAAACAAAAGTTATGTTTATACATAAATAAATTAGTTTTGGTTTAGCAAAAGACCAACAAAACAAGGGATAACTAAAAATAATGAGATTTTACAAAACTTATGATTAGAAGAAAAAATAGAATCGTGGTGTTTACTGCAAATGTAAAATTAATAAGGAGAATGATGAATTACAGAACAAGTCAAAAAGATTAGTTACAAAATAGCACGTGGTAGAAGATGAGTTCTTACCAAATTAAAAATAAGTGTAGCCAGAAATTCAGATGCCAATCACGTCTCTATAACGATGGTAAGGACACCATCAGACTATCCCCAAAGAAAGATCAAAAGGAATTTTAAGTGGTATATCTAAATAATTAAGTGCTGAAATTTAAATTAAAAAACACATATTAGATAAATATGGTTTTATAATTAGTACTAGGATAAGACCCGCGCCTTGCACGGGATGAAGCTATTATTTTTATTATGTTTTTAAAAATGAAACAATAGTTCGGTTTCATTCGGATTAGAGGTGTTCAATCCGGATATCGGGTTTCGGTTCAGCTCGATTTTTTGATATTCTGATCATTGAAATATAACTACTATTCCAAATCTATATGTACTTCAGTTTGATCTGGTTTATATACCATCGGTTTTCAGTTTATTCAATTTTATACCAAAAAAACAGAATTATTTAGTTTGAGATCATATTATATATTATACAAATATATAATATGATCACATTTAGAGTCATATTGTCACAGAGTCATTTATTAAAAAATATTATATATTTAAATAAAAGAATAAAAAACAAAAAGGCTTATATCATCTAATAAAATGATCAAATCTAGAATTAATATCAAAACACTAAATTTTAAAAATAAAAATAAAAAACAAAACAGAAGCATGAAAGAAAAGTTTTTATATTCTTCCATATTTAGTGTTCATCAAACCAATATGTCTTCGATTGAACACAACTATGTTTGTTTAAAGATAAAAAAAATTTGTAAAGCATTTCAACTAATTGTTGTCCATCAAATTTATAATCTTTACTTCAATTTAGCTACTGTTAAAAAAGCAAAAGATCAAAATAAGAAGTCTTAGTTGTAATAAATTGTTAGCTATTTACAAATTATAATTATAGTTCAACTCATGTAACAAATAGATATTCATGCGTCGTTATAAATATATACATATTTACACGTTTCAGTTTAATCGATTATAAATCAAACCATATCCAAATCCTATGGTTTTTATAAAATCACATCCATTCGGTTTGTAAGGTATATACCAAAAATAACCATATTATCGATTGTTAATATCTTTAAAAAATATAAAATTAAAAAAAGAACTAAGATATTTAAATCATTGATAACAAAAAATTTCAATGTGAAAAATTAAATAAGTTTATAATTTTTAAATGTTCTTGAAAATTTATTGAAAATTTTGAAATTAAAATATTTATGTAATCTTATATGGTATATAGTTTAATCTGTATATATATATATATATATTTGTTTTATTATTGAATGATACTTTTTACTTATATGGTTTTAAAATCATGTATATCTTTTTATAATAAAATGTTAAACTATTGATGATTAATTTTTAACATAATAATTTTAATAGTTTAGTTATTTATTCTCGTTTCTTAAAATTCAAAATATAACCTATACGAAAAATTCTAAAGTTTAATTTTATAGCTAATTTGATTGTTTAATTTATTTTAATAATATAAAATTAAAGAAAAATGATGGAGGATATATAAACTGTTATCAAATATTTACTATTATAATCATTAAGTGTCATATATATATTAGTCATTTATGGTAATTCCGTAGGTTTTAATATGGAAATAAAATAAAATAGTAATTATATCTTAGGAAACAATCATTAAGTGTCATATATATATATTAGTCATTTATGGTAATTCCGTAGGTTTTATTTATGGAAAGAAAATAGCATTATATCATTATATCATATAGTTTGACTAACTAATGTATCTAGCAACCTATAAAAATCCAATGTGGACTTACTTATTTTTCAATTGAATCTAATTGACTACCTAATTGAATGACACCTATGCATTGGGGCCTCTTTTAATTAATACAAAATTGAGGTTACATCTTTTCAAATGTTTCTCAATTAATATATAAGGGATTTTGAAACCATTTCTAGATAACATGTGTCATTTTGTGATAGATAGTAATTTAAAAAATAATAATTAAATGTCATTTGGCACATGGTGATAATAACTGAGATGTAAATATACTCTTATGCTGTGATTGATGTTGTTAAATTGGATGATTGAATCGTGGATTTGTTTCTTAATGTTTTTGCAATTGGACTAAGAAAACAATTTGCGGGTTATGTTGTGTATGGTAAGATTGTTTATCTTCTCTTACAATTCGAACTCGATTTTGTGATTGCAACATACATGAATAATTCAAAATAATGCTGACAAAAAAAAAAATAATAATAATTTGGTTGAGCATATATGGCGTAAATTTGATACAAGGCAAAATAACTATTTAATCGTTTAATTTTATTTATGATTTTTCAATCTATGTTATATGTTTTTATGTCCAGTTAATTTAAATTTTATGTAATTCAATAATTATAAGTTTTTCAATTATAAAATGTATGCAAATAATCTAATTACAAATTTTCAATTTTTTGAAATTTAGAACCAATTCTAGTATTGAAAGGATTAAAACTAAACAAGTATCTAAAATTTTTCAATTAAAAAATTGATTAAGAATTTTAATAAAAGATCTATTGTTGGAGATGATCTTAATGATATATATTAAGAGATTCTTAACAAAAAGTAGTGCAGATGGTCTTAACAGTGTATATTAAGGGATTTTTAACAAAAAGTAGTGCATGGATCCCCCAAAATGCTAAGAATTGGTTATAAAAATAGTCAAATTAGAATCACTTTTATCTAGTTTCTTGCACCATTTGTAAGTTTCACTGACATGTGACGATTTGTGAATGATTGACTTTTTTATATTTTTTTAATCAAAAAAAAAATTAAGAATTCCAAATGAGTTTATGGTATAATCATATTCTATGAGTGTGATTAGATAAAAGACATAAGCTTCGTGCCTAAGCCAGTCGTGCTTCCAAATTTTATTTTATTTTTGTTAAGCTTCAAATTACATTAAGTTCTTGTTTTTTCATACGCCCATAACACAACTGCCAATTTAATAAATTTGCCATCAAAATTTAATATTCTTCTTAATATTTGGAAAGACACCAAAACATAAATCTTTTAGAAATAGAATAAGTATTAGATAGCATTGATAAAAAAAAAAAAAAAGAGAGTAAGGATTAGATAGGATCTTGTGAACTTGCATATTATTATTCTAGCATTCTCTCTGGTAACATCTCTATTCTCCACCGAGTCAAATGCCTACTACTGATTCACATCTCAACACTAAATTTGCGTATTTAATTACTAACTCTTAGTCAAAATAAGAAAACGTAGATTAATTTTGTCCAATATAAAATCGTCTACATATGTTAGACCAGTAAACTAGAACTACCGGACAGTAAATAGGAAACAATGCAAAATTACAATCTGAAGTTCTGACGTATTTACGGTAATAGATATAAACTAGTCAAAGAGAAACACTGCGTTATTATGTTATCACACCTACTTACTCAATTCTCCCACCCACATGATTGTTCATACGGTGCAGGATGGAGGTAAGCTCTAAAGGTAGACGCAACAAGAGGAAAAACATGAGATGAGATAACGAACATATGATCAAGAACAATGAGCAGCGCATAATCGCCTCATGAACACCAGTTTGACAGAAACCGAATAATTGTAAAATTCTTTACACTACGCGAATCAAATCATCTAATTAGAAACCATCGAACAGATCAACAATAACAAGAACCAAGAACACTTGAGAATTTTCACATTGGTAATCAAATCAACAACAGTGAGCTCAATCGGCTCATGAACACCAGCTTCGCAAATACCAAAGTTTCATCATGGATTTTTTTTTTCTTTTTTTTTTTGTAAATTTCTATCGCTCAACTTTGTTGTCAGTGTCTTGTCTACTTTAGCACATCTAATGATCTAATGTTCTCGTATTTTGTTTTTTTTTTCAGTAAGATCGTTTTATCATTTCCCCTTTTTTGAATAAACATATAAGCTCGATTTAGAAAACAACACCGATCGATACTTTTATTGATTAAATTTAAAAAGAAGCCTTACAAAGAAGAGAAGGAAGAACAATGAAGCAAAAGGAGTACGAACTTGCCGATTGCATACACAAGCCCATAATCCATTATTGCATGAGAAAGTTACGTTCATTATTTTAAACACTCCAAGAAAGTTACAAACAGAAAAGCAATCAGCAATTCAAATAAACAAAAAAAGGCAAGCAAATAAGTTTAAGCATTTGTAAACCATATGATTTGTTTATTTTTAGGCACGTCTTTAGATATGTCGTAAGTGTTCACTTTTTTTTTTTTTTTTTTCAAGTGTTCATTTTACACGCATTTTATATCTTTTGGAGCTTCTTTGCCACAAAAATTTAAGAGAAACGTGATACGTATGGGAAGATTAGGGACACCGCTACCAACGCCTTTCTTGAGAGCGGTACAGAGACAGGCTACAGCATCAAGGTCAGACAAGCCACCATGAACAAGCGAGCAGCATGGCATTAGGACTTGGTCTCCAAATTTTAGCTGATCCTGTTGAATGATCCCATCAATGCAAGGTTTTAGCTGCAAGTCATTTCTAGGACAAATGCCTTGAGCAGAAGTGTAAGAGAAGAAGATGAGGTTAAGGAAAAGGAAGATTGCAAAAGAGGTTCTTGGAGCCATTTGTTTATTTACCAGAAAAATTCCAAAACAAAAGCTCAGGAAGTCGTAGTGTGTTTATATTCTTTGAGATGGTGGGGATATATGCTGGGTGTTTGTTTAGTGGGTATTTATAGAATTTTCATTAGGAGAGAAATGAAAAGGTTGCTTGTTGATCTTCTACAAGTGATTAATTTTCTAATTTTCATTAGCCCATCCATACGGCATGGATATATAACAACTGCAAAATGAAGCAATCAATATGTCCTCATGTGAGATTATGGTTGACTTAATAATGCTTTAGAATAATGGTGATATGAGTCTGCTCCATGACAACGGAACTTGTTGAATGATGTTATTTAAAACTATTATAATAAGTCCATCCATACGGCACGTATATATAATAATTGCTAAATGAAACCATCAACGAGATAATGCTTACACGTAATAACGCTTTAAACTAATGGTGATAGAAGTTTGCACATGACAATGGAACTAATATATGTTCAGAAGGACAACCTAGCGTGGAAGAAAAAAAAAAACAATAGTTCCACGCAGAACACACGTAAAATTTTTAAATTTTATTTATCCTTGTAAATAGATAATAAAGCAACAAATTCTTTTATCATATGATACTTCATTTTCTTTTTATTTTCACCATTCAAACATATGTTTTACACTGATGGATTTGAAACCATTGACCTTTTTTCTCATTTAAAAAGTTTAAAATAGAAAATGTAGATTCAAATTTTCAAAATTAACTAGTTTAGACATGTTAAACAGATGGTCAAGAGGAAACTTTGCAAAAAAAGTCATACACAATCTGTAGCACTTACGATGGTAGAGAAACACATGAGTTATTATTTTATCGAACCTATTTCCAATTCTCCCACATGCCCGACCGAACCATGCCACCAATATTCTAGAGCATATGGAGGTAAGCTCCAAAAGAAGTAGACACAACAAAAGGACAGCATCAGGCGAGATAGTGCTACAAAACTTCCGCAACGAAAATAGAATCAAAGACAATGAACAGAGCAAAATATCGCCTCATGAACAACAGTTTGGCATAAACCCAAGAAATGAAATACTCTTCACACTACACGAATAAAATCAGCACTTAAGAAACCAACGAGCAGAACAACATCAATCAAATCAAGAACATTGAGATCAATCGGTTCATGAACGAACACCAGTTTAGCAGATACCAAAGAAATCAAATACACGTTCCAGCGTGGAAGTTTCATAAAAACTCTTTCCCTCTCTCATTGTGTTTCTCTCAACTTTCTTGTCAGTGTCTTGTCTACTTCAGCACACCTAATGATCATGAGCACTTTCCTGCAAAAAGAAAGAAAGGAAAAGAAGACTTTAATTTGAAGTTAAAGATTTTTACTTACTGCAAACAGTGGGACTTCTGATCATGCGAAGACTTTACAGTGTAACAGTTTAGACCAAGGGTTAGTGCAAGGAAAGGTTTTAGCTTACCCCAAAGTTTGCGCAACTTCATTGCTAACTGAGTAACCGCTCTTCTCTCAGCAAGATTTGCAAAGCCCATGCATGAGGTCTCTTGAATTGCAGACAACACTTGAGCTCTCTTTCTTGCTGATGAAATCAGATAATTAGCTCCATTTGTAGTGCTCAAGTCAGCGACCTATTATAAGAGCAAAATAGCGAATTTTCAGTAACAGTTTCCAGTACAAGTAATAGTAACAATTCAAGCATGATTTCAAGTCCAATAAACTTGCCTGATGCAGCCAAGGAAGTATCGAATTCATGAATCTTCTTTCGAGTAGGTAGGAGAGAAGTATACTGAGTAGCTCATTTACGGTATTTGATGACAAACTGTCCAGCACAGGGCCGGTTCTGTCAAGAAGCTGAACAAGTGCTAGCTCATCACCACCAGAAAGCACTTCCAGATACTCTGATTCAACCACATCCTCGCACGAACCACCTATTCCACTCATCACCTCTGCATAATTCTGTCTTATGCTTTCAGAACTTTGCCGGGTCTGACTCAATGGTCGCCTTCCCTGTTCAATGTTGTTCCAAATGTCTTCTCCTGTATGTTGTTGACCAGTCTCACCAAAAGCATTACTTCGCGTCTTTTCTATACCCCGTGATTCATTTAGTTTGCTTCTTCCATGTGTTTTGTTCTCTCGTGTCATTGAGTACTTGGTAGATGATAATGTAGATTGCCGATTGCGGATATCCGTTGAGTTTCTCGAAGTGCAACTAGAGAGCCTCGGTGAGACAGTACTACCTTGGTTTAGCTTCACAAAATTGGAGTTTGATATATCTGAATGCAAGACAAAGTTTTGAGCGATCCCTTCCACTGCATATTCTAAGCTTAACACCTTGGATTGAAGAGCCGAAAAGTTGTTCATTATTCCTGTTGAAAAGACCTATACCAACAGAAGGACAACAACAAATTAGTTTGCGCTAAATACAAAGCTGTTTTGAGAACTTGCATCCTCAAAATACAAAGGTAAAGACAATAGATTGTGAAAGAATATCCACTGACCTGTAGCTGATCTATCAGACGTGACTGTTTATTCTCAATATCTGAGAGCTGTTTACGTACAGAAGCCATTTCATTTGCAATCTGAGCGCAGCAGTCATGATTGATTTCAGCGCTTGACACTGTTACAGTAGAGTCAGTGCTTGTACGATTCTTCACTTTGGTTGAGAATTGTTGCTCCTCAGAGTACTCTTCAGCTGCAAACTGCTTACTCGTTATGGCTGGATTCACCATACCGCTCGCTCGGAAACTGTTTGACGAAACTGTAATAGACTTGATATCGTCGTTTTCATTCACAGTGTCAGTTACATAACAATCTGTCTTATCTTCCATTGGAATGTACTCATATGTCACTTCTTGCCCGTTTGCCGCTTCTGCAAATGTTTTGGTAATGCAACTGCCTTCTGATTCCTCATTGTGAAGATTAACCTTGGAGACAGTCGGAGATTCCGGGACTGCGATTTCGATGCGCCAATTATCTTGTTTAGTCTTTCGAGGTTCGTCATTGTAACGTGTAGGTGCATTCCTGGCAGAAAACGGAACCTTCTTCCTTGCCAAATCTGTTACATATTTGTTGGAAGTAACATCCTTGGACTTAGACTCACTGGTGCTGAAAAGATCACCATCCCCTCGAGTTCCATTATAACTTTCTGCAGTTATAAAACAGATGACAGAAAGGGCATGTATGAGTCTACGAAATGGAAACAAATAGGAAAACATGCAAAAAAAAATTGACTAAAGAAACCATTTTCTTAGGTCACCTTTTACAGAGGATACAGTTTCAGATGCCTCTGGACTCTCAGAACCAGGGACAGCTTTCCAATATTGTAAGGCAAGGAGAATTGAATCCCTCACCGGTTTCACCTAAATAGAAAATCCCAAAGTTAGATATATTACTCCAAACATTATCATCTGTAAAAGAGGAAACTTTTAGACAAGAGCAAACTTTGTCAAAGCGACAGGATTCCAGAGAGCTTATGCAAGAAGCCTTGAGGGGTCCAAGAAACTTTTCCCCAGTAGAAGCTATTTCCATAAGTGCTACAGAGGCTGCCTTACGAGTTGTCCAATCTTTGTTTTTAAGCGCATCTTGAAAGCTACTCATCGCTGAGATAAGCACACTCTTCGTTGTAGCCCCACCAGCCTAGATCATAATCAATTTCCAAAATTTTCGTTATACAAACACAAATACACCAAACATGAGGTTCTATCAGGCAACAAAACTTACAAGGATGATACTTCTGTTAAGCTCAATAACCGCTGGTTTAGCAATGAAATGCGAGCTATTAAGCAGCTTCACAGTCTTCGTAAGCATACGTTGTATAATCGCAACAGGAGCTTCAGCACTACTATCAACAACTCTCGCCAAACACAACGCAGCACCCGACTGCACATACTTATTCTGATCACCAATCGCTTCGAAAAGCGGTTTCACCAATGAAACAAAAACACCATAGCTCTCGTCCTCATAACAACTCATCTTCGAAGCCAAAACACCCATCGTTTCAATACACGCATCTCTCACAACGGAGTCCTGATCCTTGAGCCGTTTAACTACACTAGACACCATCTTACCGAGATACGGCGCAACAAGGCCGTGATGAAACCTAGCTAAAGTAGCTATTAACCTAATACACTCTTTGCGCACCGCGCTCTTCTGCTCAGAGTCAGTATCCAGTATACACGAGAGGAAACAAGAGATCTTGTCAGGTGCGAGATTCTCGACGACGTTCTCGAGCTCATCGACTCCTCTCTGGTGCGTATCTCTATCCGCGAGCTTGTTTAAGGCAGTTACTACTCTCTTCTTTAGCTCGAAGATAACTTGCTGTGGATTCGCCGCCTTCATGTTTCCTCCTCCTCTTCCTCTCGCCTGCACGTTGTTCGTCGTCTTCATTTTCTGTTTTTTTTTTTTTTATCACATTAGGTTTTGAGATCTGTTAGTTGAATCTCAACACCTGCGTGAAGAAAACATGTGAGTGAGTGATTTTGGCGAATATGAGCAACGAAGATCTACGCATCATCAATACATGAAGGATAAGGCCGAATCAAATCAATTTCGTGAGAGAATAACGCCGAGAAGATCATAATGTTGCCTAAAATAGATTCAGCGTAGTTTTAAATTTGGAAAGAAGTACTAATCGAGCTTAAACATTCCTAAACGAAGAATAATCAATCAATCTAGAGAGGAAATAACAAGCTAAAGAGGATAATAGTGGAAGCATACACTGAAAGCTATCACGAAGATGGTGGTGGTGGTGGTGAGCGGAAGGAGTGAGAAGCCATGGAAGATAGAAAATGCGATTCAGTTTTTTTGTTTCTGTTAGGTTTCCGAGAAAATGAAGGAGAGAAATATCTCTCAGGTGGTAGTAGTGGGGAGAGTTGATATGTCTTTCACGGAGCCCAGAGTATTTGGCAGAGTGGGAGTGAGGCGCGTGTGAGTCAGTTTCCATTGATCAGCGTGTATTTAAAATTTTAATTTAAGTTTTTGAATCTCGCGCTTTGCTAGGTTTTTCGAATTTTGTCTTCTGGGGGTCCACTTTTGATTGGAAATTTAAATGTTTGAAACACGAAAAGAGGAAAAAAAAAGGTTGACCGTAATAAACTTTCGAACTGGGCCTTTGTGGGCCGGATAATGTTCTGATCGGGTAATGTTGCCAATTTCCTATCACCATCTCAGGGCTGTAAGAGCATGTGCATATTTCTCCCGTCCCTCGTCTTTTTTTTTTTACAAAATTTAAATGAAAAAGAAAAAAATTACAAATCCATGTTCCTTATATGGGGACGTATTTCATCCGTTCTCTTCGAACGTGTATTTCTCTTTGTTTTTACTTTTTGATGTTTGTATGTTTTGTGTGTTTTATATTATGTATTAGTTGTATGTTTTTATTTTTCAATTTTTTGTAACTTTGTAATTTTTTTTATGTTTTCAATCTTAATATTATATGTTTTATTTTTATTAAATCTATAATATGTTTTTATTTTTTACTTTAAATAATTAATTTCTAAACTTTCGAAATATTAATATTTTATTCGGGGGACCAAACACAAAGAGACACAAATGCTCATACACAAAATAATGGGGGACCAAAAATCAGGGGACACCAATGCCCGTGGTCTAACTGCATCTTAATATAAAAACTTTTACATGTTTTTTTGTGATTGAACAGTGATTAATATTGTTCAAGGTCACTGTTACAGTCTTTAATTTGAGACTTCAATATGCAGCAGTCTGCAGATATTCAAAGATCATAATTAATTACGAATAACATGCAGTGTCACTGTCAGTTTGTCACAGACATCACTGTAGATGAGTAGTATAGTGTTAGGACTTTTTTTTAAATATCGTAACCAGAGATTGAAATGCCATAAACATCTCTATTTCATGTAAAAAAAAACGTTGGTCATGACTTTTAATGCTATAACTGTTTAGGCAAAAATGATGGGAGGTCAGATAAAAACTATTGAATGCGTTGTTGGCGAGTGTATTCCCAGAGAGCAATGGCGCCGCTGACGTGGACGTTGAGGGACCTAACAACTCCTAGTTGTGGGATCTCCACACAAGCGTCCAGTACATGGATTATATCCACAGGTATGCCTTCCTTTTCCCGACCCAGCACCAACACCTTTTTTCCATACAAACAACAACATTGATCATCAACAAGATCCGTTTTACTTCCATAAGGAAAGTAAGAGAAGAAAAAGAGAACTTACAGTCTTCTTTGGGAACTGATATTTGTCCAGAGAAACACTGTTAGCTGTCTGCTCCAGTCCCAAGATTGAGAACCCTTCTCTTTTCTTTTTCTCCAAGAACAGTTTCAAACTGTTCACCGGGACTTCAACGATTGGAACCCATTTCTCAGCAGTCACGCTGCATTAAAAGAGAAAAAACTCTTGTAAACAGCATATCTAAGGTTATAACCATTCTGTTAATTCAGCAGGAATGTCAGCTATTTGAGCTGCAAACTATGTGTGATAATAGGTCTATGGTTTAAGATTTATTGATATTTTTCAAGGGCCAGATTTTCTTGGGCACTTCAAATGATTCATTTACCATGCTCTTGGATTCTAAGCAGACCCAAGAAGAGTATGAACCTGTGCTATCTTTCAAATATACCGAGATTTTCTTATAAGAGAGGACTTCAATCAATATATAAAACCTTACCTGATTAGTTGGAACTGCTTGTCGTGTATTATGCTTGCATCTCCAACGACAAGACCTGATGCTTTAAATATCTGGAAATTATGCAGAGAGAGACTTTGTTAACACAATAGATACAAAGAAGTACCAAGACACCTAACTTTTGATTGTCGAAATGGAAGGAGAGCGAGTCGTTATACCTCGCATGTCCGGGCTAGTCCAGCAAGATTAGGAATACGATCAACTAACGAAGCCACAAGGATCAAACTCTGTCGGCCAGATTTCAACCTCTCCACCTCCATGCTTCTAGATCGTAAGAGCTGACTCACAAGCTCGTCTTCTTTCTCCATTTCTGAAAAGGTTACTACACGTGTTGAGAGGCTAATCTGGAGAAAAAGACCAGCTAACATAAAAAAAGTTGCATACCAAAGAGCCGTTTGTAAGTTTCTCCGTTTTGGAGCACAGAAGTTGAACTAGCATCTTGCTTCTCATGTTTAGAAAGAGTGATCTTCTTCTGGAAGTCCAACGAAGATGGTTCAGAAAGTCTTTCTTCATCTGATGTGGAAGTGATCAACCTCCGGTTGGGCTCTTCTTCGATCTTGAAGCCTTCATTCTTAATGGTAACAATGTCCTTTGCCATGGAAGCACGAAGATCTTCCCTAACATCCTGCAAGCAGTGCTTCAAGATAAGACAGACAAACACACACAAAAAAGACAATATTTTAAACTGTGTTTATTTGCTTACATTCAGAAAAGAAATCACGTTATCCATGAGGCATGTTGGAACACATTCGAACTCACTTTCCTGCACCAGCACCACAAAATATAATAATTTAAATAATGTGTTTTTTTGGCGGTATGATACAATTTCCAAAAGTTTAGGCCATTGGTTACCTCAACACGATTGACAAAAACACCAGCCGGAGTGGCAGATGTGGTGGGATCATAGGCATCAAGATATCCTTCCATTGATGATCGCAATCTAGACCAGGAAAATAAAAATTCAAAGCTGAAATTTGCGTAATAATAAACCAAAACCCTTCTAGATGGCTTTGTCCACAAAACTAAGTTCAGTGAGTAGAACAACACACCTTGAACAATCAGGATTCTTGTCCAGGTAAGACTTCAAATTCTCAAAAGAGAGTTTCTCCAACGATATTGTTGGAGCGGATGTGGACTCCACGGGGGGAAACAGTCTGAAGAGCACCCGATGCACTAATAGCTGCCCAACCCGAAAAGAAAATGGAATAAGATTGATATACAAGTGAAGGCCAACATTTACTAAAAGAAGACAGAGATGAACATCTATAAAAGACGAACCTGAGTGAAACCTCTTAAGCTGTGGTGATGAGAAGTTAATAATGGAATTATTGGTGGAAGAAGTTCTCTCAAATTTGTCTGTTGCGCTATCTTTTCGGCATGGAGGATGACATTGGCTGCAATGAAGACATAGGACGAGAGAGCTTGCTGCATATTTTTACAAGATAATAATTATTAATATATTAAACTGAAAAAATTATACATAATCTTTTCATATTAGCAGTAGAACGCCTAATGTGTATCTTGCACATGATTTACCTGAGCTTTAGTGTCATAATTTTGCAGTATAGGAACTAACTGCTCTTTAACCTGTGATACAACAACCAAGTAAGCAAAAATCCATAAATGAGATCTCCCGTTGAGACAGGAAACCATTTAGAGTTTGATTACTCATTCTAGGAACACACTGTAAGTTAATTACCAATGGCGGAAACTTCAGGTAAATGTTTATGGCAAATGTTTCCAGGTATTGTCGAACAGCAGGCAAGTTATTTCTCTGCAAGCAAACCAAACAAATAAACAATCAGCATCAATTTAAGTTGAAAAGGAAAAAAATTTATCCCTGACAGTTAACAATGCAGGCTATCTTTCCCTAAACTTACATATAAGCAAATGTGCACACTCTCCATGACTTGGCCAACAATGTCATTGCTGACAAATCGCGACATAATGCATATCATCTGCCAGGCTCGTATTTTCCGTCTATGGATCTGTTACAGAGAAACCATAAATTACAGTCAATAGTAGTTTGTCACTTGTATCTAGTGTCCATTTAAGAACTCAATGAATAAAAATAAAGGAAAAGGATGCAACTCTTACAGCACTATACTTCTTATAAAGCTCTTTTGCCAAGTCTTTATCATGCACCTGTACCCTCAAAAAATAGATTTATTTACATAATATACATGTCATTAATTAATCAGCAGTATCAGACAAAAAGACTTAACAAACAATAAGTACCGCTGCATCAAGAAGCTCCAACAGAAACATCTTTCCAGCCACAAGAGAATCCTGATAATCTTGATTTTGACATGCTGGTTCGGCCATATTGGCCAAATCAGCGAGCTTCTGAAACAGACCAGAGACTGACACACGTGCATATAACTCCGTATTGATAAAAACCTGAGGGAAAATGCAGAACATGTCACTTTGCTGAGTCAAATTAATTGAATCACTAACTGCTAAAACTGACTCTTACTTCTGTCAGTTCAGGGTCTGGGTTTTTTGCCAGTAATGATACTTCAGTTCTTGCATCACTATTGTCAGATAACTCAGCTTCAAAATCCTCATCAAACGCAACTAAAATTCATAAAAAAGTAAAGGATAAGCAATTCAATATAATACAGCCATCGCAATGACGGCTTAATAGAAATACTAAGATATTGCAGAGTACAGACCAGAGCCATAGAGAGTCAGAAGCTTCAATTCTTTAATGTAGTACTTTATCGTCCTAGGGTACTTGAGCCACAGCCCTGTTAGGTGCAAGGCAGCAAGACGAATTGTGCGTGGACTTTTTTGACCTTCCTCAAGTACTTTTTCAACAAACTGTGAAACAAGACATTGCCAATAAGAGATACACTTTCTCTTTTGTTCCTTCGAAACATTTAATTAGGAAGGATAGATGCATACCCACTTCAGCGGACCATCTCCATCTTCAGCTACGTGCATTTCTTTATTACTAAACAAAGAAGAATGCAACACAGAAGACAAAAGCGCAGCAATGGGTGCAACCCTTCTCTTCTTGCAGCTGATATGCAATATCCAACACGATTTGACCAGCTGCCACATCGTCTGCTTACAAGACATCATAAGAAACGAAATGTAGATTAGTTACTCGAGAAGGATGAAGACACTGTTGTAATCTAATTTATATCAAGAATCATTCCAAAACCTGAGTATCCACACCCGAGAAACCATCCAAAGATGATTTCCCAGACGCAAGTATCCCCAAAGCAAGTCTGACAGATTTCAGCATAGGCAAAGCAGAACCTTCCCCAGCATTTTCAAGGCTGCCAAATCGTAAAGAGAATATTATAGGCCACAAAAAGGAGAATCATGATAAAGTTCACATCGACTAGAGACACTAGATAAAGAAAAGTTTATCTGGTACTCATGTGCCTACGATATCTGTATTTGTTAGCAACTGCTAAGAGAACAAATTTGAATTTATCACATCTCACCTCTCTACAATATCATAAAAGAGGCTTTTAACTGTATCATCAGAGAAGAAAGACGTTCTATCCCCTGGAATACGTCTGACATCAAGAACATGCATGACTGATAATAGAGACTCCACACAAAGCCACTGAATCAAGAACATTAGGGTCAGAATGTTTCTTTAGCCCTCCAAAAGCAAAAGGCCGCTGATATAAGATGTTGTGACATGTATAACTCCACTCGTAAACAGCTATAGGAATAAAAACATGCATTACCTTCCAGCTAAGCAGAACGGCCCTTCTACTTCTTACCAAAAGTCCTGCTGTGAGAAGATGGTTGATGTTGTGGAGGAAAGCAGGAACTGAAGCTTGTAACCAATATTCACCGTCCACCATGTCTAATAATGTATTATCGTTTTCTAAAAGGTTGAAAGCTCTAGCTGAGCTCAAGGACGCAAATGCATTCAGTACAGCAGCTAGAGCTTCAAATGCTGCAAGACAGATCTCAGCTTCAGCCTGGTCAGAAAAATTCCTCGTGAATTAGTATAGTGCGATCCCATAGAAGATACGAGAAAGTTCAGACCTTCACACAGTTCATGCATCACATCAAACCTGAAAACTCAGAAGAAGGGTGTTACCTCAGAATTGCAATGTTGAGGTGATAGTGTATGCCGGACGAACTTCCAAAAGAAGGCCAACGCTAGTTTGAGTTCATTAACACCACTAGTGACTTGACCACAGTACGACGAGATCAGCCCAATAATTTTCACTGACGTTACCTGCGCATCATAAAGCATTGACATGAATTTCTTGTCAATGTTGCCGGGTTTATGGAAACTTGTATGTAATTGTCCGAAGAAAACAAGAAACGAAATCATACGGCTTCTAGTACAGCTGTTGTAGTAGGAACAGATAGCCGGCGTTGACTTGGACCCCCTAGTTTTCCTGTGATAGAACCAGACAGAACACCATTCTCCACAGCAGTGCGAGACCAGAATATTGAGCAAGATGAATCAGCAAATGAAATCAGCTGCTTCTGTATTGTCAGCCAGGGAAAAAAAAAATTCATCGTAAGCCAAGTTCATGAGAAGATAATTATATCATTTATCTGTCAAGAAAATGTTTACCAGTATCGATAAGAGAACAGCAGCAAACTTTTCATTAATAACTGAAGCACTATCAACGATCTGCTTGTCATTTTCCTCAACAGAGACCATGTTCTGGAGCTCTGAGAGCACACTCAGAATAAAGATTAAGAGCTTCGCAGGTGCTCGTTCTAAATGGTTATTCTCTTTGAAAAGATTAACGCCGGTGTTTTGCACAAACTGCAGAGTTACAGGGGATTGTCAAATTAGCAACGCATTACACTTACAAGAATCCAATGTCGAAAACTATATATTAGCTGATAAGTCAAACCATTATGATATCGGAGAGATGTTCTTCATCGTTAACTGTGAGGAAAAATACTCTTGCCCATCGTTTTGTTTGGGATTCCCATGCTTCCAAGTCTTCATCGTCATAACTCTCAACATGATCATTGACAAATTCTTTCAGATACTCATCAAGGCTCGCTAGAAGACTGTTGGAAGTGTTTCTGTTGCACCCCTGAAGCCATTCTAGCATCGTTTTCCGCAATGAACCTGACATGGAAGAAAGTAGAGGATGTTAGATGATGAATTTGCATTTAATATGTAAAATGTCTCACACTCACCATTATGGTCAGTAAACTCCCGAGGAATTGCTGATACAAACTGCAATAGTGTTCCAAGAGGTACTTCACAAGGGTTCACCACTGAAGCAGCAGTTTCCAACAATTTTTGGCAAACTAGAAAATGGATAAAAATCACAATTCAAATAATTAGTTTTAGTGTGTTTAAATATTATGACGGAATGCCCAAAATGATAATTATAAATAGATGATTAAATCGGTCAAGTTAACTGATTACGGACCTCGAGTACGGTATTTATGATTAAAGTGTTGTCTACTGCTCTCTGCAACAAACTTCAAGACATCCAGTATATGTGACATATCATCTTGACTCAAATGTTCAGTAGAAGGTTCTAGGGGAGTCCCAGAGAATCTATTTTCGTGATGCTCCATTTCCTTGTTCCCGTATCCCCCAACCACATATGCTGTAGAAACAATGCACTGTGCGAGAGCCATAAACCCAGCTCTACCAAAAGACTGTTTCTTTGCAAGAGATGCCAAGTTGATCAAAAATCCAATCCGATTCCTATGAAGTGAATAAACAGTTAGGAGAGTATAACAGTAAAACTATATGATTTAGTAATTTGCAGACCCTCGAGAGCATATCTAGTTAGTACTTCATCGAAATAAATGATTTAACAAACTGTGACACATTACCTTGGGCTGAGGCAACTTGTGTACGCGCACACATATTGAGCTGCACCTTCAATTGTTCTTGAGGTATAGATTCCTTTCAGCCCTGGGATAGTAGAATTGTTAGCACTTCACCAAAATGACAGTAAAACACCGCACAAGAAGAGTTCCACTACAATTTATGAAAGACATTGGAATACATTTCTCCAAGAAGCACCTACCGAAATCCTTGTGGTGTGTAGAATCATTTAAAGCCTCTATGAAAGGCCCAAGAACGAAAGTCTGGGACATTGACTGTGTACATGTCTTGTATCTTCTCCACTCAATCCCCATAAAAGACTCCATGACCGTGCACCTGACTACAATTTTTGATTAGATGAAATGCAGATCTGGATCAGTCAAAATGAGTTGCCAACAAGGATATGATAATTTTAAGTACACAACAGTACCTAGAGGATTATCATGACGAAAGCCTCGATTCCAAAGAACCTCTAACCAATTAAATATTTCAGCTTCTTCACCTGGAGTTTCTTCATATCTGAAGGATGATTTGATTAACAAATCAATCTGCGAGGTGAATCAAAAAAAAAAATGAGCAGAGGAGACAGAATCAAGCGCAGGATATTTAAAATTACCAAAGAAACAAAAAAAACCTGACCTGGTTACTCCACACTGCTTCAACGAGATGAGTGCCGTACTCGTCAAGCATCTCATACAAGAGCACAAAAGCTTGCCACTGCTGCTGCTGACTAGTCAAAGCAGATTCAACAGAGCCATACAATTCTCCCACACCAAGTGACTTGGCTTCCTTTTCAGCCCACATCTCCTTTTTCGTCAAAGCACGATGAACTGAGTTCCCTTCTGGCTTCTTCTCAGAACTCGTCTTACTCACATCGCTTATGGATAAAACTGATTTCAGTATATGCAAGGACTGCTTCCTTACTAAGCTCTCATCAAAAACCTGAAAGGAAATTTTTTTTTTACACTAATGGATTGATCATATTGTAGAAACTGAGAGAATCTGTAAGAATATCGGTTACTTTTGTCATACCAAGCCTTTCTTGATTTCTTCCCAAAACTCTTGTTCAGACCTAAAGTCAAACTCGACAGCGTCTTTCTCTGAGACATAACTTTCTGTTCCGTCCGTCCAAGAGCCAGACGAAAGGCACAAAGAGAGAACACTGTAAGCATCCCTTCTCTCTATTGACCCAACCGAGAACAGCTTCTTGCAGCATTCCCAAATCCTTTTCTTGAAGCCATTCCTGGAGTTTTTACAGTCTTTAAAAAAAATGAAAGAAAAACTAACCAAACTAACTATCTGTTTCCTTGACATTACCTTGAAAGTATGTACACACTTCCTTGAAGTGAGATCTTCAAAGAACACTGAGAAGAGAATGCCTTGAAAACAGCAGGGAGGAGGAAACTAACAGCACATGAACGATGCTCTACACTTTGTGACAAAAACCTCTCAGTAGTATTACACAAATCCCAAAGCATACCATCTGCAAAATTCTCCACCTTTGAAACTCCTTGGTGACTTTGAAAAGCAGCGTTTAGTATCAAGTTAAGGAGATGACACGACAGTGGGATCGGAAATGACTCAGACAAAGATGCAATGTAGTTATCATCCATATTATCCGTATTCAAAGAGTCGCCAAGTAACAGCTCCCCCCATCTAATGAAATCTGATTCCTCGTGTCCAATCATTCCCATCGAAACACCAACTGATCTCAGTAAAAAAGGCACCAAACTAACTCTCAATATATCCAATGCACTAGTCTCGACCACAACGTCAAAGAACGATTGTACAATCTGATACAGTTTCAAAGACAATAAGCTCAAGGAGATGTGACTATGGGCGCTTAATCAATAGAGAGCAGGAGGAAGAAGATTCACCTTGTTAAGCAAATCCAAGTCATAAGCACGAACCATCTTCATCAGTGGAATAAACACTCTCCACACAAACAACTGCAACGCATTATGATTATCCTCAGTACCAAAGCCTGACTCAACCACACACACAAAAAAAAAAAAAAAAAACTCAATTAGTTAAATTCTTAAAATCTCCAACAAAGATTCAATTTTTTCAAACTCACCAAAACTCTTTAGGAGATGACAAAGACCAGACACCAAGGAAGCAATGTGGTTGCAATCATCAGAATCAAACTTCTTGTCGCCACTAATCGTATCCTATTAAAAAAACATTGAAGCCTTTTTTTTGCAATAAACCCGGACACGAACTAAACTACATGGAAGCAAAGATCATTTACCTCAACATTAAAAGGAAACTCTTTGATGAGAGAATCGAAAAGGGAGGAGGGAGATACGCCTGTGGAGCTTAGAACACAGTCGAGAAAAGCTGGAACAGCTGTTGGAGGAACTTGTTTGAAGCTCAGAGACAGTGAAGTGACAATAGCAGAGGAACCCATTGCTAGTTTTGAAGCTCGAGCTTCCGAAAACAATGGCTGCTGGCAGACGGAGATGGATATCAGAAAAACGTAAAACGAATTTGAAAATTAGATTTTTCCGACAAATCCCTCTCTTAAACCCTAGTAGGTGTCGTAGAGGGGAAAGGAAATTTCAAACAGATCCCTATACTTCTTTTTCCTTACATGTATTGCCTAATTGATTTGTGGTTTTATTAATATGGAATTAATTTGTCATTTGCTAAAGGGCATGCATCCTCATTGAAAATCTATCAAAACATTAATAATTTCATAGAATGGTAAATGGTTTTATAGTCTTAATTTCTCATTTGAGAAAGTTTCACATAGATCACTTAAAATTTAGAGAGACTCTTTTACTAATTATTTTTGATAAAAGATTTTTCTTAAAAGATGACTCTCAATACTGATGATCTTATTTGCGGAGATTAAATTATTAATCTGTCTATTGATTTCTTTGAAAACTGTAGTAAGGAAATATATAACTGAGGTTATGAAGTATGTTGTTATTATGTGTTTGTGAAGTTTTTGGTCAGGTAAGTAAGGGTGTAGATGGGAAAGCCACGCATATTTGCTGGCTGAATTCACAAATCAATAGTAGATGAATTCTCATTTTCACTAGAGACATGCATTCCCCAACCAATTAATCTACTTATCCACAAAGTTATCCAAATTCCAAACGGGAAGTCTACATAATGAAAAACATGAGATGCATGGCATCGTTTAACCATACTGAATTAGCCCAATCGTTTATCTGCTCTCGGTTTTAGAGCATTCCATGTTCTACTTGAACAGAGCGGTTGAAGTTTTGGTATCATCAGTCACCTAACAATATAAGTATTTTTCCAGTTTGGAAGAGCTTCTTGACATTAAAATTAGAAGCCTGCCGTTTGACCATTTCTAGTTGACAACTTCATGAATTCAACTGGAGTTAGAGACTTCTAGTTCCAAGAATCTAGGTTTGATTCTCAACCTGTCCATAATTTTTGTTAACTTTTTTTTAGTTACGAGAAGGTTTTTGAACCAAAGTTGATGTGTGATATCGATTTTGTTTGTGTGACACTATAGGTTTTGTCTACAGTGTTTCTAGTTGAGCTAACTAATACTTGGTCAATTGCGTATGAATTTGATAAGGTCTAACTTGTCACTAGCTTGAATTCAAAGATGCTGATAGGGATGGGCGCGGATCGGATATCCGGATTTTTCAAGGTATTTGTGATTTGCTTCGAATGTTACGGATATCTAATTTTGGTATTTGCTTTGCTTCGGAAAAATACGGATATCCGGAAAAACGGATATCCGAAAAATAAGTAAATATTTGCAGATATTTGCGAATATTTACGGATATCTAATCCATATTGATTAATACAACTAATCTTAAAATTTTGATATAAATTTGCTTTGCAAAAATATTTTTTTTTGCGTGATATATAAAATAAAAATTAAAAGAACTAGTGAATTTACACATTTTGTAATTTTTGAAGTTTGCAATTATAATAACACAAAAGTTAAGAACAAAAAATATAATTGTCATAATTGTTTTTCTTTTTTTATGTAATACATTTATATAAGTAATAATGTGAATATAATTGTTCAAAATCATGCGTTAGAATAATAATTTTATAATTTTATACATTTAAATTTTAAATATAATCAATATATACATATATTTATATATTTCCGGATCGGATCGGATATCCACTTCCCAAAATTTTAATATTTGTGATTTGCTTCGACTTTAACGGATATTGATTTTTAGTATTTGCTTTGATTCAGAAGTTTACGAATATCCGGAATTTTCGGATCGAATCGAAACGAATAACGAATCGAATCAAATTTAACGGATAAAATGCCCAGCCCTAGCTGATACATCGAAGATTAAAGAAAATAAGAATTAAAAAATTTGTGACTGATGATCAGTCAACTTTGACACAAGTTCGGCAACATGATTTGTTTCTCATTGAGAATAATGTTCCAACTGTCCATATCAGTGGGTCCCTACGTCTGTTCATTTGGTATGTGCGTCACACCGTTTTTCACCTAGTACTTATGTTCAACTATCCATGTATCACCACATGTCTGAAACATTCTCCACCCCCCAGCTATATGTCATCCCTAAGAGCATGATCAATGCATGGGTGCTAGGAAGAGTGCTTATTTTTTATTTTATTTTTAACTTTTTTTGTTTTATCTGATTAAAAAAAAAAAAAAATTAAAAAGCAACCAATCGCGGGCCACCACGTGTCAGTGGGGCCCGCGAAATAATGCAAGCTCCAGCGCTTAATCTGGCAATTTTGGCTCCGCGTCTTCTTCTGTTTTGATGGGGTCCATGCTCTAGCACCTCCTCAAGCATCTGCGTTGAGGGTGCTCTTAGCATGTTTCTTCTTTACCCTTGACGACTTCAGTAGGAGCCTTACCAATTTCTCTCATGACAATCGATTGGGAAAGGAACTATATACCTATATTTCTTTAATAATTCAAATATAAAACATTGGTAAGCTTTTACCGACGCGTGCCCGACTCATCCGTAGACCATGTCAAGGAGTCAATTCAAGCCAACCATTAAAGTAGTTTATTGGAAGACTAATATTTTAAGTAAACCGTTTTCACATTTGAAGAGCCCTAAAATATTTACGTATCGAGTTCAGTCTTGTATATGTTCTTTTTGGCCGGCCTATAGTTTCATAATGAGTATCTATGGTTGTTCATTTTTGTAATTCATCTGAATATAATCAGTGACATACTTTGTGTATAATTGAAAACATCAATAATCCATATAATGATCTAATCTCAGCACAGGGAAATAATAAGCCATTTTTTAAACAATTCCAACAATAAAAACCGGCCATACGACGTTAATATGTTAAAACTAAAAAAAATGGTGTTCAATCAAATTAGGGGATATAGTTTTATTGTTGTGTTGAATGATAATCATGGTCAGGTCGTGTTAAGGTCCTAAATGGCTAGTCCTAAACATGACAAACTTTGCCTGCCGTGTTGTAGACCAGTGAACGAATCCACACTGACCCGGTTTGAGATATTATTTAAATCATATAAATAATATTTTATAGTTTCAAAATATTATTATCACTTAGCTTTGATAAATAATTGGCTGGTAAACATATGCAGAAATGATCCAACCGTCTAAACAAATTATTACTGATAAACCTGTTAGAGTATTATTATTGCTAAGAGAATCAAATAATTTTCTAAATTTATATCTTAATATTTTAAGTATTTGTCATTTTATATGTGTATTAAAATTTTCACTAATTTATTCTCAACTTACAAGTGTGTCTATAGTTTTAAAAAGGTTTTGAGTTTCTCAGACATGATTTTGCTTTTTTATGTTTGATATGTTATATATTTTCATTTGAAATTATACAAAAACTTACGTAGTTGATAGCTTTATACTAGCTATAATAAAAGTATTGAACTATTATAATGACCAAGCTGAAAAATGACAATGTAGATTAGTTTAAATTAATAATTCAATATGTTCAATAAGAATGAGTTTAGGGACCACTAACGACATGCAGTCCTTTTATATTTTCATATCATCTTACCTCAAAATTAATGTTTTATAATTAGCTAATTAATTAATTTTACTTTACACCAACACTTCTTGTTTTTATTTGCTATATTATTAACTGATAAAATAAAAATATTAAATCTTATTATGAAAAATATTGTAAAAGTAAAACGTTAATGAATATTTAATTATAATTCGAAAGAAAAAGAAAATGCTGTAAATATTTTTAAAGCAAAATGTAAATATCATACATGATAAATTATTGCGATGTGTTATAGATGGTTTGTGTAAATGTGGTTAGAGTGTCGAAACTTTTTTTGGCAACAAGCACTATATTTTATTAGATTGATTAATAATGTTAGGTTTTGGAACCAACGAAGGAAAAATCAATTCTTTTATTAAAAAAAAACAGAAAAAGTTGTGTTTGCACTCTTTTAACAAATACTCTTCGATTTTATTTTATAAATAGTTTAAAATTTCTTCGCATATATTAAAAATCATTATTTTTAACTATACCTCTATAAATTTCAATACTATGTGGTCAAAAAATTAATATATCATTTTTATTTAATTTTGTTAGCTAATGAACTAGAAGAATAAAGATAAAAATGGAAAAAATATAAATATTTGTATTAAAAATGTAAATAAAATTTATAATTAAATAAATTTAAAACTTTACAACGATACTTATAATAAAAAGAAATGATTAAGTTAGTACTTACATAATAATTGAGAAATAATAGATAGAAAAACGAAGTAAACATGAGTTTTAGATGAATAAAATCATCCCACTCTGAATAAAGATGGCCAAATATCTTTTTCGTCAATCGACTTCACCGGTTGGTTGTAATCTAATTCAAAATGTATTGATGCGTAATCCATTCGCAAGAAATAATTCAATATTGTCCTAAGTAGTATTATCTTAAACTCAGCGTGTAGAGGAAAATAGCTTGTTCCTTCCCAAGTATTCATTCCATACTACTCCCAAAAGTGAGTTGGTACTTGGTAGTCGTCCAAAATGTATCGATTTGACACCTTGAGCTTTGTAAAAAAAATTGGAAAGACATTTCTTCTAACCGAATATTATTTATTATTATTTAAACACCTACTAGATAATTTACGAGTTTTAACCACTTAACCAATAAATCGGTTGCTCTGTTTATTTATAAAATCAAATGCGTTTGCACCAAGAAAAAATCAATAATCTACTGAGGACGAAAAAAATACTTTCGTGTGTAACTCGTGTATCATTTATAATGAGGAGCAGCAAAAATCAATAATCTACTGAGGACGAAAAAAGTGAAAAACAAAAAGAGAAAGAAAAGAAAAAGCCTACGCAAAATGAAAGAAGAGAGTTGACCCACCAACACTCAACGTCTCAAGAAGCATCACACTACGACCAGTCGTAGAAAAGATGATGTTTCCCGAGTTTAGTATTGGTATTTTCTACATTAATTTCCAAATTCTAGCTCAAGGCTGGGCCAGACGTTCTTTTTTTAATTCCGCGAAAAATATAATGATAGTCTACAAAGGTTTTGTATATTCAGAATATTCTTCGTGAGGTTCCATTTTAACTTTTAGACTATTAAAATAGACGTGTCGTTGTTCCCCGGATGCGAAAATATATATATTTGAATAACCGAACTATTAAATTCTTATGTGTTTTACATTTTTTACACATTTACTAATTCCGTGTATGCTTACGTAATTTAGAGAAAAAAATATAAAAATACTTGAAAAAGACAGAAGAGAAATTGTACAGAATGAAAAGAAACAGAAATCAAATAGGTGTGTTTAGGTAGGGTCTAACTGAAATACACACGAAGGATCTATTAACTTCCAAAACTGACTCGTCTTCCACGCGCTTAGGACCTTCCTTCCCACGTGCGGCATCCCGTTTTATAAGCCAACCGCTACTTCTTTACGGACTCTCAATTCTTCCCAACAGAAAAACAAAACATAAATTGATTTTAAACCGTCAGATCATTCTTCTTGTTATCAATTAACCAATCGATACAACAAATTATCCGCCTTCTCTGTATTTCTCCGGCGAGCCGTTCTCTTAGGTGGTTGGTGAGTGTTCTTGCTTATGATTTATTTATTTATATTTTTTCGTTCAATTTCTGTGATTTGGTTTCTTGATGTACTTACATTTACCTTCTACGTTCTGTTTTCGAATCATGTTTTTGGTATATATATTTTTTCTTTTTGAATTTTATTTCTGTATTTTGTATGTTAATGATGTTCTGCTCTTATGTCAAAATGGTTCTTTGCTGTTCATGTTTTATTCAAAGCCCTCTTGTGTTTTGTTTTCATGTAATATGTGTAGATTCTAAAAAAGAATGTTTGTTGCTATGGGCAGTAACAGTAGCAATCAAGCTTTTAGCAGCCGTTGGATTATAGCGGTTTTCATCTGTAAATGGGCTGTTTCCAATCAAAGGTAGCTAGAGAATTCCGAGGACACGAAGACCCCGTTGAGCTTGCTTCCGAGACTGCCTGTAAGTTACTACTTATGATTCCTTTGCATGTTCCTTTGTTTCCTGATATGAGGCTCATCTGCTTCATTATATTTTCTCCTTCTTCTCTGATCATTGATCTAGTTCACATACTTGGTTTTGATTTATTAACGTTTTGTTTGAGCTGCTTCACTCATAATAATTTACAAAATGTTCCACAGTTTTAACATATGTTTATTGTTATGCTATCTTTTATCTGGAATTTATAAAAGTTCAAAGGTGGTTTAATTTTTTTTGGTTGGTTGCTGGAACTTTTTGTTTGATCTGGCAGTGTGTCTTGTTTTGTTTCTCTTTTCCAGTTAGTGTGAGTGAGGTTGAAGCATTGTTTGAGCTGTTCAAAAGCATAAGCAGTTCGGTTGTTGATGATGGTCTGATAAACAAGGTACATAAAGATTCAATTAATTATGTTTCTTTGATTCCAATTGGATCTTTACATGTCCCCACTCTAGTAATTTTTTTTCCTTTTTACGCTATTCATCTGTAGTATTATTCCCCACTTAGTTGACTTTTCATTAGAGCAATAATGATTCTTCCATGCTACCTGTCTATAATCTATTCCATACTGCACCACTAATTCAATGTATCATAGCCCTTAAAGTTTGACTTGAGTTTCCTTATTATATTGTTTGCTTTCATGGCCCACGTTTCTTATGTGTTGATTTTTTTTAATTTCCCTTCACGTGTATCCAGGAGGAGTTTCAACTTGCTTTGTTCAAGAACAGGAAGAGGGAGAATATATTTGCTAACAGGGTAAGTTCTAATAAGTTCCTCAGAAGTATACAATTTTGGTCTTCTGGAAAGATTGAACTGCACCACGAATTTCTTAGTTAATCGAATAAAGATACTTATGTCCTCCATTAAACTAAACAATTATGTTTCCTTCCTTGCAGATATTTGATATGTTTGATGTTAAACGAAAGGGAGTAATTGATTTTGGGGACTTTGTAAGATCACTTAATGTTTTCCACCCCAATGCTTCTCTAGAAGACAAAATAGATTGTAAGTTGACATAATGAAGCTTGTTCATGTCTATTGCTTATCGAAGCCTTTGTGTGAAGAGTTTTCTTGATTTTGGTTTACCATTTTTTTTCTCTCAGTTACGTTTAGGCTTTATGACATGGACTGTACGGGCTTCATTGAACGTCAAGAGGTAATACCATCTATTTAAGCATTTCTTTTGTAGTAATTCCATACCTACATCTGTCCCGCCTCTGTTTTAATGTATTAAGACTAATATTCAAATTTATTTTTAAAAGAAACTTGACAATAGTTTCAGAGCTTATCCTACTGTTGTCTAGGTTGCAAGTTATATACTAAGCATGAAAAGATCTTTGTCAACAACTTATTGGCATTTAGCAACATGTTATGCATCCCTTACTTAAAAGTGTCCTTGCAAGAAATCATTATTATGTGTGATATTTTTTGCAGGTTAAGCAAATGTTGATCGCCCTTCTCTGTGAATCTGAAATGAAATTGGCTGATGAAACCATAGAGATAATACTAGACAAGGTTTGTCATCTGTTTAGTTCTTGTAGTATAATCCAAATCTGAGTCAAAGTTATAACGTGGTTATGTTTCTTAATTTTCATAAATGAACAGACATTTGAGGATGCAGACGTGAATAAGGATGGGAAGATTGATAAACTAGAGTGGAGAGATTTCGTGAACAAGAATCCATCACTGCTTAAGATCATGACACTCCCATATCTCAGGTATTTTTGTTTACATATTATTGGAAGCAAAACTCAAAACAAATATTGAAAATATGAGAAACAAAATGAGAGATAAGTTTTTCTTAACGTACATGTGACTCTATGCAGGGATATTACGACAACGTTCCCGAGCTTTGTCTTTAATTCAGAGGTCGATGAGATTGCCACATGAAGAAACTAAACTGGTTTTACAATTTTGGAAGAAGAAGAAAGAAAGAACAAGACCAGTTGTTCTGAGTTGATCAGCATCTGTTTGCAAACAAAGTAGGGCTAGAGCATACCTTTTTTTTTATTGTTTCATTTTTCTGGGTTCCTATTTACTTCTCAGGACAGTTTTGAAATCTTGGTTTTAGCTTAAAGAGTGTATCACCAATCCAATCATGTACCTCACATATATATATATATATATAATTAGGAGTTGTAGTTTTGTACATATCACACCATATACGTTTGTGAAAGATTTGAAGATTATACGCATACAACCGAAAATATTGTTTTTTCGCACTAAAACACAGTTCATTCATGAATAACAACCAAGATGAACACCATTAGAATCCCAAACAGACAGGATGACGCACAATCATAATCGAAAGGCAACAAGACCAACAATAGCTTCCCTAACGATATGATTGAGACAGCTCATTATAATTAGTGATAACACCAATGCAAAAAAGCTGCAACGCTAGCTAAACTAGTCTTTTTCCAACTTCCACCACACCCCAAATTGTTATGGGAAAACCTTTAGAGATATCAAGTTGAAGGAAGGCCAAGCAAGAGGTCTGTGCTCACTGCCAATTTGTATAAGCTGACAAAACATCTTGCGACTGATAAAATATTACTTGAAATATCTGAAGCTAACCAAAGTTGAAGGTTTGTTACAAATACTATTCCAAATTCAGGGAGTTACTTTGATAATTTCCAACAAGTCATGATATATCCTCATCTCATATAATGGGCCTTTAACTAATGGGCCTAGTTCAGTGATTCATTTCCACATCTACACTGAAAGCCCAAACCCTCAACCGAGTCAGCAAAACCGAGTCAACTCGTGAAACTCGCTCTGTCCTAACTTTCTAATTCTCCATTTCTCTCTATCAGAAGCTCTGCAACAGCAGGAGTGATTAGAGACTAAACCCAAAACCAAAGCCAAAACCTTTTGACTGAGAAATGGATTTACCGCCAATGAAAAACCCAATGGACGATTTGTTCGGCGAAGATTCAGACAACGACTCTCGATCTTCACGTTCCAAATCCTCCTCTTCCGGTAACGCTTCTTCTTCCTCCTCCTCCTCTTCCTCGTCTGGTTCAGCTTCCTTATCGGGAGCTTCTTCATCCAAAGGCGGAGATGGAGATAATAATGGTAATGGTGCTGATTCCAGGAGTTCAAGTGATAGCGGGAAAGAAGAGGATGGAGATGATAGAGTAGATAGCTATAGGAGCAATGATAATGGAGATAGTGGTGGAATCTACACTTACGAACAAGAACAAGAAGTTGATGATGTTAAAGATCTTTTTGGGTCTGATAATGAAGAGTATACTAAGACACCTGCTTTAAGCACTTACCCAATCCCTGGTTCGTTATAAAAATGGAACCTTTTTGTTTGTTATTAGATTGTTTTTAAGGTTTTGGGTTTTCTCTAGCTACTAAGTTTGTTGCTCTGCGTATGTAAGGTCGTTTCTGTAGCTTTTGATCACTATAGATTGTCAATTATGAGACTTTTAGTGACCACTGTGACGTCAATGTGGAACTTTTTTGTTTACTATTAACAATGTTCTAAAAATCTCTAGGCCTTGGTTAGGCGTCTTATAGAGGATTATTGTTTAGGCGGGGCGCTTAGGCCGATTTTTTAAAAGTCGTTATAAAAAAATCGTTTCGCTCATACCCGAGTTGCCGACTAGCTAGGTGCAGTCTAGACAAAGTTTTAGAACACTGACTATTATCTTTGTGTAGTTAGTGGTACGATTGGATTGTTTTTAAGCTTTTGGGGTTTTGTTTAGCTACTAAGTTTTGTACTGATATAGTGATATGAGGTTATGATAGTTTTGCCTGCGGGATGGAGTAATGACAACTATGGTGGGAGGGGAGGGATGGGACGTGGTGGTCGATGGGCAAATGGGAGAGGAGGAGCTGGGCTTCTTCCTAGGCCTGGGCCTTTCCCTGGAGGTGGACGTGGTGGCCGTGGTGGGTTTGGTGGGAGGTACCAGAATTATCAGCGTGATGAGCGTTTTGTCTCTGAGCTTAAACTTTCGAAAAGCAAAGAGACTTTGTCTAGGAAATCTACAGTCTTTCAGGAGGTAACGGTTACTGTTTTGTTAAATTTTTTTTTCTTTTATATTTGGTGATATGGTAACACGTTTCAATATGTTTGATATTGACAGCCTTGTGAGCTTACTAGCTACAGTCGTGTAGAAAGTGGAGAAGTGTTCTTTGATGAGCGAGGTTTGGTGAGAGCTTTTGTCATTGTTTTTCTTTATCCCTTTTAACTATCTGGTTGGTGGGAGTATATATGTATGCAAGCACATGTTAATGTAAACGTATAAATCATCCGCATCTTATTTATGTCCACTTCGTTATTGTTTTCCAGAGACTTTTCAAGCGTCATGTTTCGGAAGACATTGGAGCGGATTTGAATCAAGGTTATGATACTTTTATTGCGAAAAGAGGTAATGAATCAGTGAAACTGTATCTTTTGTGGGAACTACTTGATCATGTGAAAGGTGTTGAAGTTTAAGGTGTAATTAGCTGTTTTTTTTTTGCTCCTTTGAGGCAGATCTGGGCTCTGAGGGCTTTGGTGACCTTCTTGACAGCATTAGAGCAAAAAACATTTCGTTGGAGAACATTCATTTTGTGGTATGAAGTGCTTGTGTGTTAAAACCATTTAATTGTCAGTTTCATTACCTTGAAGAGATTTTCTCAAGGTTGTCTTTTTGTGCTTCGTTTTGGACAGACATTCCGTAATAATCTGAACAAGGTAAATAAGATCGTCAACATTTCTTTTGCTCTGTTATTTGGTATTACTGAAATGAGAATGCATGGTTCTGTTTGATAACTCACTGGCTTTGCTTTGTTTTATCTCTCTCAGATACTGGGTGCTGCTTACAATCGCCATGAGCCATGGGAAATGGGTGTGCATAAGAGGAATGGAACCATATATTTGGATGTGCATAAACTGCCTGAAAGGCCACAGAGTGACTTGGATCGCCGCAGGTAATCTTCATTGTAATTGTTTTGGCGTAGGAGACAAGGTTTAGTAGTAAGCAGTGTTTCAGAATATTTAGGGTAGAAAAGGAGTGTATTAGACTGCATTTTTGCTACTATAGTGTAACCGATGCTACCTATATTGCAATCAGATGTTACTGGGGTTATTGTTTCGAAAGCCTAGCCACGGAAGATCCAGGAAGAGCTTATGGGGAAGAAATACATCACGTGGATGCAAATGTTGAGTTCTGTTCCATTGTCAAAACTAAACTCGGAGCTCACCGGGTTCTGATGGGTGCTGAAATGGATTGCTGCGACGAAACTGATGAAGGAAGGAGGATCTATATAGAGTTGAAAACCTCTCGCGAGGTATGCCTCGTCTTGCTACAGTTATCCTTAAAAGCTCCATTGCGATTTCAGCTTCTCGTTTTCATTCCTTGAAGTGAAACTCTCTGCTGATTTGCTTTCCAGTTGGATGATCGTACCGTAGAGAGATATGAGAGAGAGAAACTGCTTAAGTTCTGGGTACGTATGGTGTCTCACGAGTTGCATGTATCTTCTTTTGTTTCTCTTTTCTTGTGGCTTCCAAGAAATAACTATGAGAAAACTTGTTTATTGCTGTGCAGATACAATCATTTGTAGCAGGAGTGCCATATATTCTCGTTGGGTACAGGTAAAAACAGACGATTTTGCTGACAAACTCACACAGTTTGTGTAAACGTTTGCATTTTAACTTGATGTAGAGATGATGGAGGGAGACTAGTACGCACAGAGAGACTAAGAACCAAAGACATCGCACATAGAGCCAGACTGAAAAACTATTGGCAGGTCAGTGTGATATCACTAAACTCTCATTATTTTACATAATTAAAATAAGAATCGCTGTAATCCAAAATTTGTTAAAACTAAACACAATTGAGTTTTTGGGGGAAACACTAGGGAGGAGTGTGCTTGGCATTTGCTGATGAGGTTCTTTGCTGGCTATACGGCACTGTTAAAGAGAGTAAGACTCTTTCATTTACGCTTCGACATAGAACAATTGAAGTAAATGATCTTTAGAAGTAATATATTTCCGGACAAAATGTTGCAGACGAAGATTACACACTACAGTTCGTGCATCCATTCATGAGGCTAGAGCTTCTTCAAGCTCAGTCTTGTCCTGACTCCATCACTAACCATGTTCACCTTCTTCAACACCCATCATCACCACCACAGTAACTCTTTAATGGAATCTTTATAATCTTGTAGTACTTAGTTTTCCAAAATCAAATTTTCTTCTATTACAAAGTTTTTGATTTTGGATTCCTCTTGTAACTTATATATTACTACCACCAACACAAACAATGAAAGAAAAAAAAATCCACTTTCTAAGGATATTTATTTTTGGTTCTTCCACCAATGAGTAAATGAGAAAATGAATCAAACCTTAACTCTGTTCAAGCCATGCCACGTGAGTATCACGTGTACCGGAGACCTAATTATATTTCAGCAACTTTCCCGTTTTGCCCTTCCCTCTTCTTTTATTCTTTTCTTATCTAAAAAAAAAAAAAAAATCTCCGAGCAAGAACAAAAAAAAATAAGAAGGAAAGGAAAGATCTGTGTATCTCTCTATAATACCACCACGAGACTACTCCGTCAGATACGAGAAGCTCCGTCTCGAAACCCTACCGATTCCGAATCTGTTATCCCTCTCCCTCTCCTCGTAACGCCTTTTTCTCGTTTTTTTTCTTCCTTTTCTCCGATTCACCGGCGTGGATCTCCTCCGGTCACCGCGGAGAGATAATTTGGATCATGTACAAAGAGAGGGGAACGCGTGGATCGAAGTCTGAGGTTGTGGATCGGAAACGCGTAAACGAGGTTCACGAGAATCGAGCGTCGTATTCGATGTCTCATACCGTCGTCAATGGAAAAGGCAAGGCAGCTTCGAACTCCGTCTCGATTGGGAAGCAATTGCATGACCAGAAGATTCGCGATTCGCGTTCTGCTCCCTTCTCCAAAGCCACCATTTCCGACGGTAATTATCATTCCTTCTATAATTTCCCGATTGTTCGATTCAATTCGATTCCGTAGCTAGGGTTTGCTTCTGCTCTCTTGATTTTGGGGATTCCTATTTTAATTTGTTGGGGCATATAAAAGTTTGAAACTTTGATCCTTAGAGGCAGCTTTTGTTCCTGTTTACAGCAATTTTTTTTTTTTTGTTCTTATTTGTTTGGAAACTTATGTGGTGGGTTAATGTATTAGATGTAGATGTATCAGAGACAGACAGCGAAGAGTCTGAGGTTAGTGGCTCTGAAGGGGAGGACACCTCGTGGATATCTTGGTTCTGCAACTTACGTGGCAACGAGTTCTTTTGTGAAGTTGATGATGATTACATTCAGGATGACTTTAACTTGTGTGGCCTCAACCATCAAGTTCCTTACTACGACTATGCCCTTGATTTGATTTTGGATGTTGATTTCTCTCAGGGTATGTCTTGAACTCTTACCCCATATTGGTTATTTTTTAGTTTGTGTTTTCTCATGGCATTAAGTGTTCGCCTTTTTTTTTGGCCAGGTGAGAGGTTTACAGATGAACAGAATGAATTGGTGGAGTCAGCTGCAGAGATGCTTTATGGAATGATTCATGCTCGTTACATATTGACCAGCAAGGGGCTGGCTTCTATGGTAAATATTTTACTTTGTTTTTTTATATACGCAAGTTGAACATATCCTAGTAGAACATACGGTAATTGTTTTTGTTTTTATGAATGATATTTGCAGTTAGACAAATACAAAAACTATGACTTTGGAAGATGCCCAAGAGTTTATTGTTGTGGACAGCCTTGTTTACCGGTTGGTCAATCTGATATTCCTCGAGCAAGCACCGTAAAGATATACTGCCCCAAATGTGAAGACGTCTATTACCCACGATCAAAATACCAAGGAAGTATCCTTTTTTTTCTTATTCACTCACACCTCACTAATATATCAATGCAATGCTTGATAAATAGTATATAATCTGGTTTTGATTCGTCTCTCATTGAATATATTCCTACGCGATGCTTTTTAGTTGCTGTGATATTTGTGTTTGTTGTGCTTTAACATGAATAAAAAAAACAGACATAGATGGAGCATACTTTGGGACAACGTTTCCACATCTGTTTCTGATGACGTACGGACATCTGAAGCCGCAAAAGGCAGCGCAAAGCTACGTTCCAAGAGTGTTTGGGTTTAAGTTGCACAAGCCGTGAGGGAAAGAAAGAAGAGGAAGAAGCAGAGGTACAAGAGTATCATACGTTTTGAAGAAAGCAGGAGACTTGTGGAGACAAAAGAAGAAAAGAATGCATATTTGTATGACGAATATGGAACTATTTTTTTTGTTTTGGTCCTTAGATGGCTTGAACTACATTAGCATATCCCATGAATTGGTAAAAGTAAAGTCTCATATTAGCATTGTAATGCCCCTTATTGTTTCCGCTTCTACAGCATTCGAATTTGTTAAACACAATTTACTCAAATTGTTTCTAGCAATGTCGCTGAAAGCCCATTTAGGCCCAAATTCAATGAGCCCTTTTAAGATTAAACAGTCGCTTTCTGAGACCAGTGACGAAGCAAGCTTTCTCTCAAATATTTTTTTAATTTTGTATAGGTGCGTGCGTGTATGTTCCTGCGAGCATATAGCGCTCTAGATTACGTCTCTCTCTCTTTTTCTATTGCTTGGTGAAGAAGAGGGAGGGGGTCTTTTGATTGAACTTTTGTTTCTCTACGGTAGCTAATCGAATCAGAAAAGTTTTCACCTTTCCTCTCCTCTGTTTACAACCCTAAAACACGTTTTCTCCGTTTGTTTTGGATCTCTTCCGAAACTGGGTTTTGTTTTTTTTTTGTTTTTGTAATAATGCGACCGTTTATGTCTGGTTCGAGAGCTTTGTTCAGCTTAATTTCATGTCGAAACGCAATTAAAAGCCCGATCAATCGCTCCGGGATCGTTCAGAGGAGTTTTATATGGAATCAATCCCGTCGATTTGGGTCAATTTCGGGGATGCAGAGATGCTCTTCTTACGAGGAGGCAAGAAGAGTAGTCTCTTTGGGGACAGGGAGCGTAATTCAGACAAGGCATTTTCTGGGTTGCGGAGATGGGGAAGAAGGTGGTGGTGAATTATCCAAGATCTACGAAGAGCGTCGTGTCTTGGGGTAAATTATAATTTTCACCTTAAAACTTTGATTCAATTTCAGATTTTTCTGCTTGATTCGTTCTTACAGAAACATCTCTGAGGCTTTTTGTGTGTTTTGTCTTGTTTTGGAAACGATTAGTTACGAATTAGAAATATGATTTGATAATCTGAATACCCATTGGTTTGGTTCAGACAGTAGTTCGCATGTTCCTTGTGACATATCTGATGTGTGAACAACATGGTTGTATCTATGAATATGAGAATATCATTGATCGTTTTATTGTGTGTTAGCCACATTGATAATACACATACGTTGTTGATCTCTAATAGCATTGATTTTGAGGTTAAGAAATAGCGCGAGAGTAAGATTTGACTTATACTCGTACGTTTATTTTCTCCTTCTGGTAATTTAACAGGTATTCTCAGGAGCAATTGTTTAATGTAGTTGTAGCTGTAGACTTGTACCACGGTTTTGTTCCTTGGTGTCAACGCTCCGAGGTTCTTAAAGAATATCCTGATGGCTCTTTCGACGCTGAGTTGGAGATTGGTTTCAAGTTTCTTGTTGAGAGTTACATCTCCCATGTTGAGTTCGAGAGACCCAAATGGATTAAGGCAAGGACATGACCGGACCGTTGTTTCTTTTTTTTTTGTTTATTAAGCTTTTCTGTTTGTTTGAGTGATGAATCTTTATGACATGGTACGTTTCAGACAACAGCGAGGGACACCGGCCTGTTTGACCATTTAATCAACCTCTGGCAATTTAAGCCAGGACCCATTCCAGGAACCTGCGAGCTTTCTATCCTTGTCGATTTCAAATTCAACTCACCTCTCTATCGCCAGGTAAAAAGACTATCACATAAAACCTCTCCAGTTCTTAGAGGTGTGTAATTTTAACTTATGAACGGACATTGACCTGAAAATTCTGGTTTCTTTGTTCATGAGAAGGTGAATCTTGATTATAGTCAAAAACCTTGAAAGTAGTTTGAAAGTGTATCTTTTTTTTTCTTCTGAAGGTGGCTTCGATGTTTCTAAAGGAGGTAGCAACAAGACTCATTGGGGCATTTAGTGATCGATGCCGACTTGTGTATGGTCCTGGTGTTCCAGTTGATGAAAATGCATATGAACAAAAAGCTTGATACACATATATTAAATGGAACTAACAACATGAGGTTAGTTTTCATGTTGTTTGCTAGAGAGCGATTACGCGTAGCTTTTGTTGCATTTTTTTTTTCATATATGAATTGTTTTTTGCATAAGGAGATCTACACATAAGATGTTTGTTTAATGTAAAATCTGAAATTTATTACAGCCCGTTTCTCTTTTCTTTTGGGAGTCATTTCTTTTATTCACAACATGTCCTTTTAGTGTAGATAGATAGTGGTGATTACAACACACATGACATGCTGACTTATGTGGTAGGAATAAGCTTTCAAAAGCTAAAGAATGAAGTAGAGAGGAATTTTATTAGATGGAAGTTGTACATTTATTAAGGGAAATCAGCGATGTTGAACACTCAAAATCTAGTCATAACCATTGAACTCAAATGAGAATTGGTTTCTTTAGTCTGTGTGTTTGGTTTAAGAGATCCTTTATGTGGTTTAAATAAAGTCTTTTAAACGATAAAAAAAACACAGCTTATATCTTTGGAAGAGATGGATACTTCAAATGGCATAAGTTTTGTGCCCCACTTGTGTCCTATTCTTATCTTCCAGGTCTGGTGTAAATCAAGAAACCAGGAAAAAGGATGAAAGAGATCTTGTTTAACTACCATGCTTTCAGTTGATATGTCATCGGAATAATTAAATAAGTATAAGTCTTAGTCTCTCTCACATTCTTATGGATTCAATGCGTTTGGAGAGTTTGGAGTAAGCGAGATGCCATATATCTGAACCATGTATATTATTTCATAGATGTTAAAACACAACTGTTGTTCTAATTCTCTCCTTCTTGAAAGGTAAACAATTTTTCAAGTTTACAAGAGTCTGTTACAAATACTGTACCTGTTACTAACAAGTCGCAAGATATTTTGCCAATGAAGTTTTGGATGACTAGTTGTGGTGATCTAGTCATATCTGGAGAAGACACAAAAAATCAGATAGCGTATCTCACTGTTTAGCAACTCTTCATGTCCTTAACTAATGAGTCTCGTTTTTTTGTCATTATACTAGCCATTGTGAATGACCTTCGTTTATGACTTATGCGGAAGATGAAAAGTTGATTAAGCCTTAAAATCTTTTTTCTGAAAAAGAAATATGTACTGCTGTTCTCATTTTATTTAAACTCATTGTACTGCTGTTTCAATTGAAATGAACGAAAAGTGTACTACACAATTGCCAAATGGTCTCACATAACATGCTCAGAAACAAATGTCTATCTGAGTCATCATGACATCAAACGTACTCAATTTCAATCAGAGTTTATTCCACTATAGGATAGTTTATTTCGAATCATAACTGTATTAGGTCATATTTTGAAGTTAACAAAGAAAATTAATCAGTAGGTAAGTTATTATCATATTATTTTGTTCCACTACAAACAGCTTAGCTGAAGATGTTAACATTACATATACTTATTTTGTTTTCTTCACATACTGAAAAAAAAGAAATTCAAAGATTTACCAAATTCACATAGGCTTTTCTTGTACTCACAAAATTGCATATTTTTCGTAAAATAAAGCTAATAAATAAAAACAAACCCTTGAAAAAGAGAGGTTTCTTGCTTTTTATTTTCCTTTTACCATTTTTTCTTTTAGTTTCCCTGATTTTTCTTTTCAAATTAAAACCATTAACCAGCTTTTATAGAAACAGACGTTAATGGATTCTTTTTTTTTCCCCTCCCATAGGAAATGAACTAAGCAGCAACAACAGTTCCAGTATGGAAAGCATAGTCACGAGACCTAGTTGGAGAAGAAGAAGAGCTTCTCTTTTCATTTCTTCTCATAGCTTTCACCGAAGAAGACAGATTACGTTTCTTCTCTTTCACTTCGTCTTTATTTATCTGCTCTTCTCTACACTCTTCACTACAGAACGGTGTGTCTCCTCTGTTATTCCCATCAAACAAAACATTGCAAAAAGTCAGACACAATATATATATATATATCTTCTTGAATTCAAAAAAGGTAAATCAAGAATCAGGTTTCTATCACTGACCTAACATAAAGAATCTATTATAGTGAATTGAAATAAGATTAAAGAGAAAGAAAGATGTGTACCTGTACATGAAGATGTCTCTGTTATTACCAAGACGCTTCTTACAGAGAGAGCAAGAGTCTAAGAAATGAGGTAGTGGTTGTTGTCCGAAACAGTTATTGTTGAATCTGTAATCATGGAACTTCCCAGGAACAACAACAGATCTGGGTGAGTACTGGTGGTAATTATAATAACTCTGAGGATGGTACTGATTCATGTTTTTGTAATAAGAAGGAGATGAAACTCCAGGTTCCATCTCAGCTTCTTCTTCTATGAAATAAGGCTTTCTCGTGGAAAATTCCATTTTCTCTAGTTTTATTTTTGTCTTTTTTTCTGCTTCTTTCTTGTTGTTCTTTGAAATGAGAAGAGAGAGAGAGAGGGGTTTGGTGTGGAGGAGACTTGGTAAATGGAGTTTACTTTTATAGCAATAGAAGGACAGGTTTGTTTCTGGTTCAAGAGAGAGAAAGTAAGGAGATGAAGCAAAGTTTGAGGAAAGAAAGTGATGACAAGAGAAGAGAATCTATTGGCTTCTTTGTTTTACAAAACCGCTTTTTTCTTTATTTACTTTGACATTGTTGAATTTTCAGTAATAATATTCGAATTATTGTTGTGTAAATACTAAATTGTAAGGAAAAATATGTTATTCAGCTACCTAAGTTCAACTAAGCCATTACTTATTTATCTGATTAGTGAAAGTCTTATAAGTAACTTTCTTAAGTAAATACTCAAAATCTGCATTTGTGTTTTTTATAGCATTTTATAAATGTTTTGATATTAACATATTACAACAAGATCGCATTAGAAACATCATTTCATACTATTCGGCATGTTTACCAATCAATACTTTCATTTTCGACTTTTAAAAACAAGTCACCATAAGATAAATACAATTAAAATAACTCTATCGTTGACCCATTTATTCACCATATCAATTATGTTTACTCCAGGCTAGACGCTACAATTTCCTATGATCTAGGACAAATGTTTAATGAATTAAAACACACTAAAAACTATTTGTTGTCTATTTAATAATCATAGTGTTAATACTCATCATTAGCCTAAATGCCATTGCAATTGAATTCCATGTAAACAGGTGGCAACGTTGTTATTAAAGCTAAGAGTGAGGGACATAAGTGTAATGTTAATACCTGCAAGAAAATCTTCGAAAATATGGGATCGTCGGGACCACAAGCGCGTGACCTTGCGCGTTACGTAAACTTATCTCACCACTTGTGTCTTTTCTTTATTGGGAGGATACGTAATTTATTAATAGAATTAATACGACGTCTTTTTCTCTCTTTTTTTAGATCTTTCCCACCGTGACAAGTGACGTTTACGAAGACTTTGGAGAAGCTTTGTGACGATACCACCGCACTTGAAGATTTAAAAATCATAATTGCTTTCACCTTTTCTTTCTCCACGAAAACTGAAATAAAACATATATATATATGTAGATTTATCATTTATGTGAAGTCACCTTTAGTTTAAAACAAACAAAAATGAATAGTTTAGTTTTGTTATTGGAAATATCTCTCTCTTTCATGGTATTCACCTAATTCACCCAAACTAATAGAGGACCCTCCTTGAAGTGTGAAACACGCGCTATAGGATGCGTGTAAGCAATTATTCAAACATGTAAACGTCGTACACTTGCGCAAGACTCGGAAGTTCGCAAAGTTCTACCCCACCCTGTCCCTCAAAAGTCTATTTTTTGTTTCTTATATCGATTTTTAATTTCAGTTGAAACTTTTAATAATGAATTTTCAGTGCTAAGTATGGTTATGAAGCGCCTGCAAAAACTATATATTATAAATTTTTTAGAAATAAATTATATATTATACTTGCGTATCCATATATACGATTCTGGTGCGCAATTTTAATTCTTGTGAACATAAATTTCGTTCGTTTACAATAATCTACCAGAAAATGTATATATGGAACCACGTCACTCTCTTTCATTTAAAATTTTAATATTAGAAAAACCATTTGATTCTCTCTCTCTCTTGTATTTTCTCTTATTTTAAAAAGGAAATTTTGTCATTATTTCTCAACAGCATAAATACTGTGGACCCATTCTTCCTTGCCCACAGGATCGATGCTGCTTATTTACGTGGCCTGCCATTGCCCCCATTGGACCGTTGTTTGGTTTCTATCTATTTACTTGATTTATAAAACACTATGAGTACGATTAATCGTGGATTGTCTGCACAAGGTTATCATTGAAGATTGTCTGTTGAATCTGAAAATAAATGGTAAACCATTTTCTAGAGAGAGAATCTGAAAGTTTCGATGATCATGCGTTGTGAAATTTTTTTGTAATGCAGATTCGAATTCAGATTTTTTTAAAGATCCATGGAACGTTTTAACCATTCGATCACAGACGCATGGTTATATGTTGAATCTATAAGATGAATGTTGTACTTCTAATGGTTCTTAAAGGGAAGTGGAGTATTTTATATTTAGTTGATTGAGTTATACATTTGTATAAAATATTGTAGCTGTTGAAGAGATTAAAAAACACTGGAAATCAATTCTATTCGATGACTAATTCGTTGCATATGTATACAAAGTACCAAAAACAAAACAGTTAGTTGGTGGTTTTCTACATTTCCGGTTTTGGTTCTTAATGGCAAAGCCTTGTTTGAGTTTTTCTATGGGTTAATTTCGAGTTTTTGATAATAAAACTGATTACAAAGTTTACTGATATAAGAAATGGTTTCGATCAGAAAGAAGAAATCCCTTTTCCTTACGAGCCTTTAAAAATAAACAAACAAAAACATAGAGTTTGTTGAAGAACATTTAATTAGTTGCGGTTTTTGGAATAACATCTACTTTGGTTTTATATTACTAGATGCTTATTGATTCCCTCGAGATTCACAAGAGGCACACGCGTGTCCCAATACTTGGCGTTCCACGACACGTACGCCTTAAAAGAGCAGCGGTTGACCACTACCAGATCAATCTAACACTGTCCAGTTCACAATATTGTATTCATCCATTGTTTCTCCATCGTCCGATTCCAAATTGATTCTTCTGGGCCCATTCTAAGAATCTGCTCATTCAAGTCTCTCTCCCTAATTCTACTGTTCTTTTCTTCGTATCGTTTCAACATAGGAGTATTTTTCTATGCATGTGTATTATCAACATTCAACAAAATATATGTATGTTTGACAAAACCATTGGCCGGCGGTGCGGTCTAACTATAACTTTATAATATTTCATCTCTGATAAAATTCATTTTATGAAAAAGTCTTATCAATAATAAATCAAGTCACGGGTGATGATACATCACATGAGTATATATCCATACTAAACCCACGCTTTCGGCTACTTAATCAATTCTGAAACGTTGCAGCTTCTGAAAAACATCAATATAGGCTCCTGGAATGAGTTCAAACGGATTAATAAAGAACTTAGTGAGTAAACTTCTAACTAGATGATATGTTTGATTACTGTTTTATCCAATCAAGTATAATCACATGTCTCCATACGATAGTTTGTAGACATATATATAGATACCCAATCAAGTATATATATATATATATATATCTTAAACGATAGTCATAATTATAACTTGTAGTAATCGTCCAGTTTGTCACATGGTATGAGATCAGAAAGGGAACAACATTTGTGGCGCACCAGGCCACTAATTATAGATATAAATATAATAATTCATATAATTAGCAACTTGATCATTGATCAATATACATATCAATAAAATAACTCGAAAACCAGGCTTGTTCTACAAGTTTGATGGACTTATAGGATCATTAGGTTCATTGTTCACAACAAGAGATCTAGAAACCGCCACGCGACAACAATGTCTCCTACGTCGAAACACATCGGTTATCGTATTAGACTATCTATCTACGAAAAGCATGGATATTATAAAAGCGAAATCCACTAACGCTCATTCCATTATATTTTATTGGTTTGGTTAATCCCACACCTAACATTAGTTTCTTAGTTGTTTAAGTACTACTATTAATTATGTATCAGTAGGAGCCAGAAAGGCAGCTAGCATAAAATATTCATTTTGTCGTTAATGAATCATATTCTTATAAAGTAGCAATTAGCTCCATCATCGACCTTCTTGTTTTATCATCATGAATGATAGTTGATAGCGCATGCATAGCAGCACCCTGCACATTTCTTGTCGAGTGGAATATTTCATCATGGGCTTGAGAACATCGGAGAATTGTTGTAAGGTTGGGCTATTCGTAATATTTTATTATTTATTTTGGGCCACTAAAGTTGTGTATGTCAACTTTGTTATTGCAACTTTTCTAGCTCTCTATATCGCACGAAGCTCAAATTAGTATTTAATATAATGTAATTTTGTTAAATAGTTAATTTTTATTTTTATTTATTAAAATCAAATTCGTGGAAGGGCATTTGGCAGTATTGTAATTGAAAGATTTCTTACAATAAAACTTTAACAAAATAATAATCATATATATTTTTGATGAAAAACTTAGTTAAATATAAAAGATCTGTTGTTTAATTTAATTTTTTAGAAAGCATAAATAATAACACATCATGATGGTTTCTAAATTAATATTGCATGCCATTTGAGATAAACACCTAGTTAGATATTAACTTTAAGAAAAAAACATTTTCCAGGTTCATAGTTTTTTTTTTGAATGAAATATTCCAGCTTTATAGTTATAACACATTATTTCACATTCTTTACCTTAAATATGTAGATGTGTATCTCACTTGGTGATTATGCGGTTACGTGATTCGTCATGTTAGCTAAATTGACCAAAATTCAACAATTATTTTTCTTATAAATATGGACTATTATATGCCTCATCTGTGCATATCACCGGTGTGCACGATATTAATATTTTTATAAACCTGTTTGTGTTTCCCCATGCGATTTCATAACTCCGGAAGCGTTTGGAAAAATTCTAACACATGACTTTTCACATGCATCAAACACTAGTCTGATAATTTGTTTTATCACACTAGTCTGAATTTCATGTTGGAATTTCTCACTTTGAAATAAGAATATGATTGGTATACAATAATATAAGTGGTAAAATATGCGTAAACTCTATTCATCAATTACTATAGTTACCAATAAAAGTGAGAAAACGTCTTCTTACAAATGACCTTTTGTTATTTCTCTTTGTTTTGGTAAGTACAAAACAAAAGTAGATGAATTATTAAGTACATGGAACCAAATGCTGGACAATATCGTTTATTGAGGGGGACAAAGGAGTCACATGAATAGTTGGATCGCATTATTGTCACATGGAGAATGACAAGTCTGTTGATGCAAATCATAAGGAAAGTTGTCTCACCAAACTTAGATTCAAGGAGGATCAATTCCTCCTTCCTTTAGCTTCAAAGAAATGTTACATGGACATTCAAAAAGACACAAATATATACATAGCACACAGGCAAGTATATAACAATTGCAATAGCACACAATAACATAGCACTTAGCACTGCACTGAAGCAACTAGCAAGTATACGACAAATGTAATGACAGTAGTCAGTAGGTGAAGCTGTGAAGGAAGGCACGAGTTTCTTACAATTTCTTTTTCTTTCTCCTTTTGTTAAAAGAACATATTGTATCTCATGATCCTCACAGTTTAAGACCATTTCCAATAATTCACTTTATTTTTTTCTTGAAAATAGAATAACTCTATAATAGAGTTAAATTATACTCTAATGCTATTCTATTTTAGAATGAAAGATAGAATTATGAATAAAACAAAAACAATTTACTCTATATATAGAGTAAACTTATTTTTCACTATATGATATTGTAACAAATAAAATACTATAAGAATATTTTTATCCTAAATTCTATTTTAGAGTGGAAAATAGAGTGAGTTAGAGATGACTTATCCTATATTTGTTGTCATACATATTTTAAAACCCTAAATATTATATTTCCTAAAATATGTAAATTCAAAATCAAAGATAAGAGAAAAAACAAATAATTTCCAAAAGAAACAAAGTAAAAGAAAAAGTCAAAATGAAAAAAGGCCACTGGCCCGCTGCATGTGCCTTGTCCTATGTACATCAAACTATATGATAATTTCTAGAATCACATAAATTTTTTCCGTCGGTTCAGAATACGTCCTTTTTCGTACGGTTGAATCAACGGTTCCTTGAGGTATAATGGGCCCATGGGCCTACCAGGCCCATGAACAAACCATAATCAAGAAAACAGAACTTCGACACCGGAACTTTTAACGGCGAGGCAAATCGGACAGGCACGCACACCACCGCCGCCGTCGCATCCTTTACAAAGAACCAGATGTCGGCACGGAAATGCCATCACCGTCGCCGGTCTCCGCCGGCAAATCCTACAACTAGGTCCGGTCATTTCGACCCGCTCCGGATCCACGAAGACAGATTCAGCGTCCTCAGCTTCCTCCCCGTCGCCGCCGATCATACTCTGTTTCGCCGCCGTACGTTGGCTCGCGACGACTTTTTGGATATGAGACTGTAACGAAGAGACCTCGGCTTCCCGCGTCGCTGCTCTTAACTGCCACGTTCGCGCCTCTTCTGTAAGCTGAGCTGCACGCGCCTTTAGGTCATCGTGACGGCGCGTGGCTTTCTCAAGCTCAGCTTCTTTTTCTCTCACTCTCTGTCTGACTAACTCCTCCGCTGCGTATAATAGCTCTACGTATTGCCTTTCTCTGTACGACGCTAACTTACACCGTAGTTCCTCACTCTATAAAATAAAATAAAATAAAAAACCAAACAGAACAAAAAAAACAAGAACACATGTTAGAATTTAGATAAAACATTAACAAGTACCTGAGTTTGAAGGAACATGTCCAAATCATTTTTTTGACGTTTATATTCTCCGGAAAAAGTGGAAAGTAGCTGTTCTTGATGATCCTGTGAAAGCTCATGTGATAAACGAAGACCAGAGGGAGTCACACAAGGCATTTTCCGATTATGATTCTGCAACAACTCGATAGCTTGCGGCGGTTTTGGCGGTGGTGGGTTCATCGGAGCAGCAGCCGAGGAGAATTGAATAAAATCTACCGAAGAAGCTTCTCTTGATCGCTTTCTTGAATCAACTAATCCTGCTTTGATGGAAGTGAAATGAATGTCTTGAGGCGGCAAGGAGCAATCAATATCTTCTTGTCCGTTACTGCTCAATAAAAGTATAAAAATTAACTGAAACATCATATATTTAAGACATACATACGTTTAAATTAACAGATACTATAAGTGTATATATGAATGTTTTACCTGTTGACGAAGAAGAAACTTGAATCATGCTTAGTCTAAACCGCCATTGATTATCAACGAAGTCTTATTATTAGATAATAAGGGCGTGCTTGCATGTGTCATGAATGATGATGAAACATCTTTATGAACGCTTGGGGGATCATAAGAATTAACGAGAGTATTAATTAAGTGGAGAAGGAATTGGAGAAATAAATGGGGAAGGTGAGGTTATGGAGAGGAGGGGATACAGACTTGTGGGACTTTCAAGGCTGTCCACATTGTATGCATGATTCTCATTAATGTTACGAAACTCTTTTTTGTATGTGTATAGTATATTTTATGACCATTTTCTCCAGCAGATTGAGATTTAAAAGACTTTCGTTCTGCTCAATTTTGTTTAAACTATCACTTTAGAAAAAAAAAATGGTAAACATTCTCCGAAGAGAAAATGTGAAAATTCCGATGGACACACGCTGTGATAATCTGAATGTAGGGGATTCCAACTCATATCCTGTAGGATCCATGGAACGCTATGATACCAACCGACCGATCACATACACGTGCTTACTACCACTTTAAAATGTATAATATTCTTATAAAATAAAAATTTGGTTTGAATATTTTTATAAAATTTGTTTAATTTATGTTTAAAAATATGTTGTAAGGTGAGGTGGGTCGATTGCTCTTCGTTTAGCTCTTACAAGTTTCTTTTGGTTACCCGCCATAAAAAGTTTTACATAACACATTATGTTGTTACCTCTTTAGAGGAATCCACGCCAACCAAAATAGAGAATTCTTGAAAATCAAATTTTCTTTTAATTAACACTCACCTCTTCTCTTCTTATAACACAGCTTGAAAGTTTTGCATCTTGCAAATGAAAACTCGTAGCAGCTAGGAGTTTTACTTCGACGTAACAATTTCATTTTCTACATTGTTATATTCAAAACAGAAGGAATAGGAAAAAGAAAAAGAAATTATGAATCACTTGAAACTTGAAAGGTATAGATGGCTATACGCATAAAGCATTGGACGTCATTTATTCCCTCAAATAAGAATTTCAAATTACATTTCCCCTCTGTCCACTTCACGTTTACTCATGAATAATATGCTTCACACCTTGCCGTTGCGTACCAGGCTGTTTAAGTCTTCTTCATCAAAACGTTCAATATACATACATATTGGTAGGTGATCAGTGTCGGCTCTAACCCATGGCAACATAGGCAAATGCCATGGGTCTATGGGTCCAAATAAAATTTTAGGTGTTATTTTATTAGTTATCAAGGTTCATTTTATTTGTTAAATACTAATTAATTGGTGAAATTATGACAAAAAGATCTATGATTCACTAAACCTAATCTAAATACAAATAAGAACAAAAAAATTACCCTGCACTAATCTCAATTTTCCATTAACAAAACTTAATTTACACACAAAAACCTAATTTAAATTTGTTTTCTTTGAATACCATATTTTTTTTTGTTTTAATTTAAGAAAATATAATAAATAAAGGCTGAGAAGTTTTATATAAAAGGGTCTTTATATTATATTTCGCCTAAGGTCATTAGATTATTTAAGACGGTGCTGTAGGTGATTTGTAGTCATCATTACAACTCGTGTCATATACATTTTATACGAGAAAGCAACTGAATCATATATACAAAGAAAAGTAAGCTAATCAAATGGTAGGAGGAATATGTACACAGTATGTTACATAATTACACGTTACAAAAATTGATACGATCTAACAGCAAATAAATTGGTTATTTAATTTTTCTAGAAAATGTTGGTCAGAAAGAACGAAATGATTCATAGAATAATCATTGTCAACAAGATGACATAAAAATGTAGAAATGTGGTGGCAAGGTAAACAACAAGCTGATTTAAGAGGGATGTCATGTTAAGCAATTAGTTGATTTTGTTGGTCACAAGTCAACATTTGTATTTATTTGTCTTGAAATGAAGATCAACATTATATTAACCTTAATTACTTGTATGTTAGCCTATATATCAATATATGACAATGAGTAGTCATATAAAACAATTCAATCTTGTGGTTTTGTTTAATTTTATCGGTTGTCGTTGGTTGGCTTTTCTTACAAAAAAGCTTGTGCTTGAGCCATTTTTCTCATAGGCCATGATACTGAACCGAGGCTGCGATCAATTGCTCATCCCATCTCTTCGCCATTACTGTATTGTAATCATCTTCATCTCACTACGTCATTACCTTTTTTTTTTGTCGAATGTTAACCATTTTTTTAGTCCATAATGTGACCAAATTTCACAAAGTGATTTAGTAACGGAAAAATCAATTGAATTTTAAATTTGCATAATTATAATTGGCAATGTAGCCTCCAAATACTTTGTCATGTTCGTTTCACAATGTCTGAAAATTCAGCTCATCAGATGAATCAATATTAAATAATGTATCATTTGATATTAAAAAAAAATCTATGTGAATACTTTTGATGGTGTTACAAATATTCTGCAGGGATATCATTAAACGACTAGTCTTTGAGAAATGACAAGATAACATATAGTAAATATACTTTACACTTTTTTATATCATTTATTATACAGTATATGTAGTGAATTTGTTTTATTATTTCACTTGAGAACTGCCTAGGCACTAAAACCTTTTGCTATGTCTCTTCTATTTAGAGAAATATACATAATAGATGTAAAATTTATTTCAATGTGTTGCTTTAAAATAATACTTTTCTAATTTATAGAGTACAAAATTAAAAATGATATTTAATACGTATTTCAGAATTAAAAAAAGTTATACTTAAACACACTTATACTGTATAAGTAACCTTAAATGCTATTATAAGTGATACATATTAAAATGTGTTAGAGATACCTTAAATTTTGAATTAAATAATTTATACTACAGATGATCTAGCGCGGAATATAATTTAATTTAGACAAATCATATACTATTAGTATAATCTTTAATATGTTAGGTGGTTCTAATAATGTTTGTATCGGATGCATAAGCTCCGAATTTATAGTAACGTAGCTATGCAACTAGGTACAAATAAAGGTTCAGAAAAAGAACATTGGCACAAAGATGGTGGAATTATGTTCTGAAAGCCTAACAGCATGTGCAGCGGTCAATTAATTTTAAAAAAATTCTCTCCGAATAAATACTAAAAAGTAGTTTACCAAAAAAGAAATACTAAAAAGCAAGTGAAAGTCTAATAAGAGGTTCTCCCCCCATAAACTTTAAAAAGTTTTTGAAAAACTCAAGTTCTACTTGGCTTACAACTACTAGCTAATTTAATTTTAATGAAATTTAATTAATTAATTAAATTAAATTAAATGCTAATATATGAGAAAGCCATATGGTTTCTTCTACAGCTGATACTATAAAGATAGCAAACTGTGCTGTATTGTACGTAACAATATGCATTTATAATATATTTGTTCCTATTTGAATTCATAGCCCATTGCTAATTTTTTTCCTATCTGGTTTTTATTGTTTTTCCCATTGCTAAATTTTTTCCTATCTGGTTTTTATTGTTTTTAGAAAATAAAAACTTGTAGTTTTATATATATATACTACATGTTAGACAGCTAATCATAAATTCAATTGACAAAAACATAAATTCATTATAAATCTCAAAGTTTGTTAAATACAACTCATAAACGTATATATATGCATGTCCGCACAAAAAAGAAAAGAGTTTGTTTTGTTTTGATATCAAATAATGTTATAAGAAACTTTGTAATTACAATAGACTATAAATAGAGCAAATACAAATATAGGAAGAAGATGAACGAATATATTTTTCTCCCAAAAAACTGCTTGTGGGTTCGAACGGACGTTAAGTTTTCTCCCAAAAAACTGCTTGTGGGTTCAGTGTTCATCTTATATTATATACCCCATGCTTTGCATGGGTATATTTTTGTTTGCAAACATACACAGTGAAAACAGTTACAAAAACACAAATTTAAGAGGTAATAATCAGTTCATAATAATGGGAAATAATTATGTAGTCAAAATTATTTGAAAAAAGAAAAGGTGATCTTTACTACTTAAGGTATGCTATTATAACTTTATATATATATATATATATATATATATATATATATATATATATATATATATATATATATATATGTGAAACAAATTATAAACTCACGTAAGACCTAAAGGGTCAGTAGAGCATTATGTTTACATAGGGATCTCTATATACTTCCATTGACATGTTTTTTATAGACATGACTAAGTCATGGGAACTGGATTAAATACGTTTTTGTAAATTATTTTTATTGACATGTTAATTTGTAATCATAGTAAAATTAAAAATTTAATTATATAAAGTTGTGTTTTCTCTCCTTCCAACTTGCCACGTCATTAAGTAGGGAGATGAGAGAATGACACGTGTCTCATCTCTTGCGTTTTGTGTTTCGATTTTAATTGGGTCTCTACATCTTTATATCTTTGTCTTGGGCTTAAGTTGTTTAGTTGTTAAAAACTCAGCCCAATGAGAACAATCTATGGTTCATCCTCATCTCTGAAAAGCTTAAGCAACGATGGTTTCATTAGATGGGTTTTCTGAGACGGCTCTTCTTGGCTAATCTCTTGATCGAGCTTGGTTTGTTCTGTTTCTTCTGGGATTCTTATGTTCTGAACTGTTACTAGGTGCATTGATTCATCCCCATTAACTATTGTCTTAACTCTTCGACCCAATCCAACCACAATTCCCCATTCAATGGGTCTTCCCTTTCTACAAGGCGGTAGATCTTCAGCTTTATAAAGGTCAGCTTTCATCCCTTGAACATCATTATCATCCTCACATTTAGGAAGCTTGAGTTTAATGATTTTGATTTCCTTTATTGATTTGGTTTTTGTTTATTTTTTTATGTATGATGATTGTTGTATCGTTTATTGATTATGAAACCTTGAGTTTAGATAATCTTGATTTTGTTTTATGTTTTTTTTTTTGTTTATTGATGTAAGATAATTTCGTTTCATTTATAAATTTAGAAAGCTTGAGTTGACAAAAAAAATTTATAAAGCTTGATTGATGCTTTGGGTTTCGTTTATTGATTTTGTTTGTTATTGTAAGATTTTTTTGGTTTCATTTATTGCTTCTTGAGTGCAGATAAGTGTTGTTAATGAGACGGACCGGCAAAGCTGTTTTGATTACCAGTATCTAGTTTGAAAGGTCTGGTTACACTAGAACAAAAAGTTCCCCAAACGCTTACAAATACATCGATTTGTGAGAATGGTCTTACATCCCAAGTTGTTGAACTCTATAAACTGGTAAGCTCTTGTATCCCTAAGGTTTTCTTTAAGTCTGTTATTTTTGATTGCTTAAATTAAGTTCTTTGTGCAGATTCTTCCAATGGCTTTCCCACGAGAACAAACCAAGAAAGATGACTCTGTTAGTTAAATACTCGACAAGTTTCTATCGAATTTTCTGATTCATTTATCAAAATAAGAAAAGCAATATGTCTGGCTGGCCGCATATTCTAGCATCGACATCCAAGATACAAAGGAGAACCGAAGACCGCTTCTTTGAACCAAATGAGCTAGCTCCACGGAATGACAGGCGCCATGTAAATGTATGTTAAAATTGTTATATGCTATAAATTATTGTAGTAGTCTAAAAATGAATTTTAAAGCTAATAAAAAGATATGCTTAACGGTATGCAATCCTTTGTAGGGGCTTTGCTTCCGTTGCTTTTGATGTGGAGAAACTGAAGATACAAAACAACATTAAATACAATATATTTATTACATAATAAAAATAAAATAACATTAAATACAAATAATAATTTAATGCCAATATCACCAAATCATATTAAAAACACACAATAAAATGAAACTTAATAAGTTGATTTACTTCTGTAACTTTTACATGGCCACTAAGTCCCTTGACGCTGCTGGTGTATCCTTGTTCATCTTATCAAGTTTCCTTATCAAGTTTGTATTTAAAGGGCAGTGAAGGAAATAAGTAAAACTGAGAGGAAGTATGTGGCAAGAAAACTGATGTGTCGCCCATGTTAATTGGATCGAAGTAAGAGTTATTTTTTTTCTAGGTTTACACTTAAATTTATATTCATTTTAATTTTTCTTATTTTCTATGTGAAGGAAATCATCCGGTGGGAAATATATCGTTGCTTCTAGAGCTTCATATGATTTTTAAATTATTACTCACGCGATGACACTACCATCGGCAGGGGCGTTAATAATAATGTCCAATGATGGTTTTCTTAATCATACTTTGCCAAGAGTCTCAGAGATCACTATAGATGCATAAAAATAATCACTCCAGCTACAACACTTCGATGCAAAATATTTTGAAAATAATTGGCCCATAAGCTATAAGCTTATCTAAAACGTACAAATTTTGCATAGTGTTTCTTCAATGCCTTCTGAATGTTTCTTCTGAGATCTGCAAGAGGATAACCATTGAAGAGCTTTGTGTTTTCTTAATCTCAAAGAACTTCGACAAAGATAAGGCTGGAACTAGAAACGTCTTTGCTCGAACCACCTTTAGTTGTAGGTTAGCTCACTAACACAAACTCGGAGCGTTTCAAAAGACTAAAGTTTCATTCATAAATAAATTTACAAAAATCAATAATAAATATCCAAACGGATTCTGTAAAGCAATATTTTAGGTACCATGTAATAATCAAACCTGAACAAATGGCCAAACAACATGAAAATCTTAAATTAATCAAGAATTTGATCCAACTATCCAAATTGGTTTTCAAAAGATTGAAAATCTAAATAAGTACTTCAAATATTTTATTTCATGTTTATTTTGATACAACCGTATAAAATATTTAAAACCAAAATATTATTAACAGAACTCGAAATGAGTTCAGTCTAAAATGAATTTTCGAGAAACCTTTTTTGTGAACTAATTTTAAGAAAAATTTATAAAATTTATATGAATCTGAAATATTATTAACCAATTCTAACTTAAGAAGTCGTAAACTTAAATTTATATGAATCTGAAATTTTATTAGGTGTCATAAGTTGGTTGTTTTTTACTTTTTGCCAAGAAGCTTGTCCCTGAGTCTTTTGTTCCTTGGACCATGTGACTAAACCGAAGCACCAATCAATTCCCAATCCCTCAGATTGTTTCCATTCACAATCCATTATTCACTCCAAAATGGAGTTTGAATTAAAAAATGTTGCAATCCTATTTTATTTTGCATTCCACTATATAGTAAAAATAGATTTACTCTATAAATAAAGTAATGAAAAAACAATTGTGTTCATTACTTCATTTTTATTCTAAAACTGAGTAAAATAAGAGTAAAACTAATTTTATTAGTAAAATGACCTCGTTTTAGAAGAAAAAAAGTAGATTTTTATATTGAAAATGCTATAAGTGTCTATTTATCATGTTTTTGTTATCATCCTCATTACACTACCATTCTTGAGTACAGAAATGTGTCGATCTTTTATAAAAAATTATTTAATTACGAAAAGCACAACTAACTTTAAATTGTCATTCTACAATTAGTCAAGTAGTAAAAAACACTCGCGTTCCATTATCATTTCATAATATTTGTGATTTGCATAATATAATTCCAATCTATTAAAACAAAGTTCTATATTTTATCTACTTATCAATGTTATCATTTAAGTTTTGGATTTATTCATATCTCACCAGAATATATATATATATATATATATATATATAATATCAATACAATTACAATATGAGATATTTTTAAAAAATCCTCTTAATTTACTTTCTAAATAACAAATGCTCATATTTTTATGACTAACAACATTAATCAGTTTTATTATCATTACATATAACTCAATTTATATATAATTTTGATTTATAAATAAAAACTAAATTATTATAATCTCTAATTATATTTTATGATAATTAGTATTTTAATTAAAAAAATTGAAAATAAATTCTAAAACGATTCTGAAAAGACATTTCATCGGGTTTTGTTAGAAATTTTTAAAAAATATTCATTTGTATTTCAAATAAAAATATAAAGATATTGAAAGATATTCTAATTAAATTAGGTAAAATTTCATATAATTTTGACAAATATTTCAAACTAAAACCAAAATAACAAAACACAAACTAAACTCCAATTAATAAATAACCTATATTTTATGCACCGAAAACAAATATTCACAAGCAAACTGGAATCCAACCAAAAATCAATAATTACAATCTAGCACGAACCAAGTTGTAACTTTACAAATTGATGCTTAAAATATGGAGTTCTACTATGTATTTTCCTTTTGAATTCCTATCCCATTACAAACATGTAAATAAGCTTTCGTATATACTCTTACACGCTTTCCCAGTTACCATTCAATGTAAGTGTTTAGTTAGTCGAGAAACCAAACGATATTAAATCATGATTTTTAAAATCATTTTTTTTTCCAGGTATTTGAATTTCATATAATGTTACTGGTTTGAAAAAGATTACAAAAGTTTTAATTAAACTAGGATTAGCCTTTGCAAAAAAAAGTAAAAAAAAAAAGAAGGTAAGCCTAGCCCCTGCATAAATAGTAAAATATTTTTTCTAATTACAATATACTATACAAAGAGAAATTACCAATATAGGAAGAAAAAGGAAACTCCAACCACACGAAAATGCTTCTACTTTTCCTCGACAACAACCAAAACCAAAAAAAGAGGTCTACCTCGTAGATATCTCTTAGTATAAATTCCATCTACATATCCGATGAAAGCATCTTACTCAGGGATTGATATACGTCTCATGATATTAACAATGTCATCGTTTCCTCCCGTTTTTTTCCTCGTCCTAGTCTTCATCCCTTGCATATTATCAGCACCGGAGGCAAATCTAACCGCAGACTATTACGAAGAAACGTGTCCTGATTTCAGTAAAATTGTTCGTGAAGCCGTTTCGGCCAAGGAAGGCCCACCGGCGAGGATAGCTGCTGGAATACTACGTCTCTTTTTCCATGATTGTTTCTTAGAAGGATGCGACGCGTCCGTACTAATCTCTAAAAATCCTTTACACGAATCTGAACGCGACAATGAGATCAACCATTCTCTTACGGAAGACGCGTTTGAAATTGTGACTACCATCAAAACAGCTCTTGAAAAGTCTTGTCCCGGTGTTGTGTCTTGCGCAGACATCTTGGCTCAGTCCACGCATGACGTTGTCACAATGGTTGGTGGGCCTACCTACGAAGTAAAGTTAGGTCGTAAAGATGGGCGTGAGTCGAAAGCTCATAAAGTTGGAGCAAACTTACCATTACCACACCACACGACCAACAACATGGTGTCGTTATTTGAAAGGAAGGGTTTTACTCTAAAGGAGATGGTTGCGCTAAGCGGCGGTCACACTATCGGGATAGCTCACTGCAAAGACTTTATCAGCAGGATCAATGGAACAGAGCCTGATCCAGATCTCGATGCACAATACGCTGAAGTTCTTAAAGGTGTATGTAAGGATTACACGGTGGATGACACGAAGGCGTCGTTTCTCGATCCGGTGACGCCAGGTAAATTCGATAATATGTATTACAAGAACATGGAAAAAGGGATGGGACTGTTAGCTTCCGACTTCATCTTGTTTAAGGATAATAGCACGAAACCGTTCGTGGAGTTGTATGCGAATAACGAGACAGCTTTTTTCGAGGATTTCGCACGTGCCATGGAGAAACTAGGCATGGTCGGTGTCAAAGGCGACGAAGATGGAGAGGTGAGACTCAGATGTGATAACCCAAACAACGCTGACGCATAAATAATATTAAGAGTATAAGTGAATTCAGTTTCTTTCGTTGTGAATAATGTATTTTTATAAGTTAACGTAATTATGATGTATGAGTGAATTCAGTTTTGTTTCTCTTGGCTATATATGATGTAATATTCAATTATTCCTCCTAATAGCTGTATTCGAAAACAATGTCTCATTTTGGAAGGAATAAAATATTAACAGTTATAAAAAAAATAATTATTAACAGTTTCCATATTTTAATGATAAATATGTTTTGTTTTGGATTATGCATTTTGGTATGTTAAATGAAATGTATTATTAGTTATTAGTTTACGGAGGAGAATAAAAATTCAAGTGCTTAACTTACTCGCCTTATATCTTTCAAATTGCTTCACGGGTGGAGCCTTTCTTTTTAACAAGGCTACAAAAGACAACAAGTGTCCCGTCAAAGTACTGCTGGGCCAAGTTTAACCCGTATAGAAATCGAGTCAGGTTAAAGACAATGTGTTTATGTGATTGTCTTAAACGGGTCAACTTATGACTATATGTATATGGCTTTCTTTTAGGTCTAATCAAGTTTTCTAATTATTTTTCGTCTGGCGAAAGACCTATGAAATTTTTGTTAAACGAATAGTCTTTAACTTTATTTATGTATACTATTTTCTTCGTCTAATAAAGTTTTAGTAAATAATTAAGAGTATGTATTGATGTGTACATTCTTTCATTAGTAACGTATTATTCGTTTATTAAAGCTCTTCTGTTTGCCAAAACCCCTCTGATTATCAGTTTATTAGCACTTGGAGATAGTAATTGTGGATGGATCTTATTCTCTTCTTTTGTCTTTACATAGAATATATGTGAAAGTCTTTTGCTGCGTCAACGTCCAAAGGGTCTGACACTTGTCAGACAACCATGTGTTTAGTAATAAAGACAGATCGATTTACGTGAAGCAGTCGAAACTTTGCATCGCTGTAATGATGACCAAATAATTTTATTCCATATTTCTCTTATCATTCCATATTTTTGGCGATAGGAAATCTACATATGCCGACAAAAAAAGAAGTCTGCAATCTATAATAAGCATCTCAAATTAACGACCATGTAAACAAAAGGGCATCTACGTTTACAGTGAAATTAAAGAACAAATATTAAGTCGGAGAAACACACTTCAATTCATATTTTTCATAACGCAAGCATAACTTTAAAGTTTGAGATTTGTATATTTAAAATTTTTGTTTTGTCATATATATAGTAAACTAGAGAAGAGGGTCTGGTATAGCTAAAGTGAAATCGAGATTGGGAGTTTCAGTCTCTGGTCTTGTCCCTGTGAGACTTGACGAATCTGACGACAATCGTTCGTAGCTTGGACATCTTTGATCCACATTCTGATAACAGTTTTGAGACAAAATATGAATAAGAGATCATATCATAAAACCTTAATAAATTTGCATATTTACAGTTATCTCCCTCTCTCATGTTTTGTACTTACTCCATATGTTCCTAAAAGATCCATATTCTAACTTTTTCACACTTTTTAATAAAACACAATAAATTTACATAGTTTTTTGTATTTATCTTCTTTCCATAATTTTAAACCAATCAAAAATCAATTAGTGCAATTAAGTTTTTTGAAGTTTACAATTATTTAATAAAACATACACTGAAAATGTAAAAAATGGATCTTTTAGAAACAATTTTTTTTTCTAAAATATGTATCTTTAAGGAACGGAAGTAAAATTAGTTCAAAAAGGTCATAGTAATTAGTAAATTATATTTGAAGATTTCAAAATATTTTGATAGAAAAACAAAAGTATATATCTCCCCAAAGTCTTATTTTCTCTTCTTTTGAGACATAAAATACTCTTTTTAATTATCTAAATGGAAGACAAAAAGTAAATTAAAAGATCTTTATGCTAACTTTTTTTTTCCTTTTTCACCTCTAACTTTGCAGTCCCATTTCATTTCAATGCTCTTTTGGTTAAGTTTTTAAATAATTGATACCTTATTGGAAGACATGTCTAGACCTGATGCCTTAGGCTTTAAATGGAGCCGAGCTTCACTGTTATACAGACAGACATCCCAGTTTAATCACATTTGTAAAGAAAGGAATAATGTAAAAAAAATGGACTAAACTAAAAAAATAAAACAAGTGTTTAGTTTCTCATATGATACCAATATAGAAAATTCCCTAATTAGTATGGCGATCAAATAGGTCCGACGATAAGATAACACCATAAACTAAAACGAATATATATAATTGAGTGATATTAAGACAGATACAAAACATACCTTGAGGAGTTATTCCACAGACCTTGGAGATCTCTGGCTTGTCTCTCACTGTTTACTTTTGATCCATTCTCGCAAGTATCTGATTGCCCTATATATATTAATAAACATACACACTTACCATTTATTTAATGATATAAGAGATAGATTAATTAAAATCGAAAACATAATTAACTAAATAACCTGAGGATGTTGTAGGCTTCTCAGTAGATTTGATGGTCCGATACATCTGAAAATTATATTTGATTGAGTCATATATATATAATTACAAGAGTACTTATATATATATTATTATTTTTTATGATCAAAGACTACTTATATATATTAATGATAGTAATTATTACAAGAATAGGTTTTGGTCGATCAATACATATACATGTGCGCATGTATGTAGACTTATTCTATTCACGTGTGTGTATAGTTATCCTTCTCTATATATATGTGTGCACGCACACAGAGACAGAGATGGATAAAGTAAGAAAAAGAGAGCAGAGTAAAAAAGAAAGCATTTACGATTCATGAAAGTGTGCAGTCAGACACAGAGATGTGGTATGTGCATGGGTCTACGTGTCATGATCAAACCATCAGTCAAAATATGCAGACAAGTAACTTATATGTTATCATTGAATAATCATGCATATACATATATGTGTACATATATGAATTTTGAGTCATTGACGAATTATGTCTTCTTTGTACTTTACTTTTTCTTCTGCATCTCTCAGTAACATATAAAGGACTCACTCTTGGTCTTTCGGCTATATCTAGGTTTTGATTCCTTTTCCTATGTTTTGTTGTTGTTATTATTTATTGTTTCACCTGGTATATATTTTCTCAATGGTAAAGACCAAACGATTAATCACAGAAAATATTTAGTCATTTCATTAATTATACTGCAGTGGGTTCGGTTCATTTGCATATTATATACAAATACAATACAAGGAAATCATGTGGTGGATTTTGATGTAATATACACATATTAAAGGTTCTAACTAGCTATAGACTAACTAGTATACATTGTATAAGTCAGGAAATAATGAATAAAATTACCTGTAGATGAGATTTAACATGAGCCAATGTGAGATCCTGAACATCCATCAGCTCAAGTACTGATTTTGGAGTAGCTCCTGGATATTATTCAAAAGCACAAATCCATAAAAATATAACCATATATTCAGATCCCATTCAATAATTAGTTAAAAAGGAGAGAGATATACTATACTATTAACTAAAAAGGAGAAAAAGAACAGAAAATAGTGAAAAAGGACAATACTTTCATGACCACCCAATAATTGAACAGCATGAACGAAATGGGCATGAAGGGTCGTCGTCCACCGCATCCTCGGAGCCCTTACTCCTCGTTTTGCCGTTAATCTTTGCGGTTGAGCTTGACGATGATGACGGTGGTGAAGATTATGACTATAATTAGGGTTTGCGTGTTGACCGTTGACTTCACTGAAGAAGAGAGGAGTGGGAGAGTAGTAATAGTGGTCAAGAATTTGATTGTGGCGAAGAGGGATTCCTCTTATTGGTCTTACCATCAAATTCGATCTCAAGTCTTGATGTAGAGGTTCCCTGTGTTCTTGATTATGATCAATCTTGGTGGGTTCATTGTTTGAAGTGAACTGGGGAGTGTGGATGAGATGGTCAGAAGTCTTTCTGTCTGAATCTGAGGCTTTACTACCAAACAGGAATCTCCTTTGGACTTCTTCTTGTTCTTTATTATCTTCTTCTTGTTCTTCTCTTCTTCTGCTGATCTTCAAGTACAAGTCAGGTTGTGAAGGGAAAAGCTCCATAACACGAGCGAATTGGGAATGAATATAAGATAATATTGATGAATTTTGGGGAAAGAAGGGGGGGTGTAGTCTTATAATTTATTTCAGAAAGTTTTTTTTTCTTCCTTAATGAATGTTTGTTCTTGGTGGGAGGAGAAAGTCAGTTGCAAAGGCTTTTAGAGAGAGAGAGAGATGGCAAAAGGTATGAGGAGAATGAGAAGTCTCTTTCGTCTCTGTTCCCTTTGAGAAAATGACACTGTAAGAGTCTAATAAAGGGGTTGGGTGAAACATGAATTTTCATTCAATTTTTTCTTCATATATACAGGAAAATATCAATTTTAATGGCATACTTTGTTACAATGTATATATCATCTATCACATATCATTATTTAATGAGGGTATAACAATAATGTATGGAAATATTCCATTATTTGTGTTCAGATTTACATGTGAAAATGACACTTGGGTTGAAATAGAAAGATTTGTGTGTTTCTGTTGTTATTTTAAATAATTGTTCATGAGAAAGAAAGAAAAACATGTATCAAATGCTGATATTTGTATACAAAACCGCAGTTAGCTACATATTTTGTTGTTGATGAAATGGTACAATATAAATCGGAAAAAGCTCTAATGAATATAAAAGATAGAGAGAATATATAAGTCTCGTCATTACTTTGTTTATTTGTTTCTTCTTTCAATTGTTTGTCTTCTCTGACGTTGGAGTTTGGAATTATACCGAACATTATCTGCTTTACCGTCTTTTTTTTTATGACTGATTGCTTTACCGTCTTGGTGGCTGGTTGCCTAAGAATTTATTGATTATAATTCCTGGAAATATTGGGTTTTTCTATATATATTGTTTGTGGTGAGGTTAATTTTAATTTGTTTATTACGTGATAATACTGGAGCTTAAGATAATAGAAATTGGAAAGTATAATATAACCTGAATTTTCATTGTTATTTCACCTGAATTTGTCACTCTTCGTTGTATCTCTGCTCAAATCATCATACTTCATTTGCGGAAGAAGCATAACAATGTCATTTACAACCAAATATCTCTCTCCACAGCTGAAGTTTTCTGTTTTGTTAATCACTGCCAAGCAAAAGCGGAAGAACTTTGCTTCTCTCATATCTCTTTGGCTTAAATAATGATCTTCACAGATCTTCTCCTCACCATCATGTCACCTTTTTTTGCCATAGTGGTGCTCTTTGATTTCTAAATCTAACTCTTTCATTAATATGAATATTAACAATTTAGCAAATAAAAATAATCATAAAGTTCATGATAGAGCTCCATATATCTCTGTAAATCCAGCAATAGATGGTTGAAAACATCATAATACAATCAAAATCATCTTTCCCAAAAGAGAAGAAGCAAACGTTGATATCAAAAAACATGTATGGAGTGCAATTTTTATAAGCATCGTTTATATTGTTATAGCGTCCACGTAATTATAGGGGAAAGAGGACCCTTGACATGAGTTTTTTTGCAAGCTGGGGTTAACAGAGTCCAAGTTACCCAACAATAACTGATACACTGATACATAGTAAAAGCTATTTCACAAAAAAAAAACAGATATATAATCTTTCTTTTCGTTACATAAAAATGTTATTTTATAATTTCTTTTTATAATTTTGAGCTGAATATTAATTACAAACGCATTGCTTCTATAAATAATTTTAATACTGAATGAAAAAGTGTAATTAATAAGAACATAAATGCATTTGAACAATTTTTTTTTTTAATTTATGTGAAATGTGTATACGTGATATTCTACGAAACAAAGGAATAATATTAGTTTTTGTTTTCCGAATAAACTACATGTAGTTTTGACTTTTGAGTGTAAAAACGAGGTGTATTTTCTTTTTATAAATCTGCATGCATTGTTTATTAATTAGTAGAGAACTTTTAAAACAAGTTAACATTCAAGTTTCGTATTCGCTTCTACTACGCATTAACTCCAGTTTATCAAAAACACCATGCGACATAAATTTAAGTTTTGGCCCTATGCCAACGATGGATAGTCCAAGATTTGATTCCCAAAATGCCCTTTGATAATTCATGTCCCCTAAGCCCATACATCGACAGTTAATGTTGGGGACGATCCATTGATTCGTTTGATTTTTTCACCCACACATTTGATTAAACTTATTCGAAAAATCGCAATAAGACCGTATACATATATCCCTATATATTAGTCTAAAAATAGTTGAAGTCGATCGTCCAGGTTAGTGCGGCACGAGGAACGATATAGATAAAAGAAAGGAATTTAAAATAAAATCGAAAAGAAAATAAAAGATTAAAGAGTTTTAAATGCATATCGTTACTTGATTGAAAGTTGCTACCGACCGACGATGCATAAGACAAAATTAGAAGATTTATCGATTAAAAAATACATTCATTTTCTCTTTTGCTAACTTTTTTTAATAGTATTGATATATTTGGTTTCTTAATGAACTCAACAAAACATTCATTTTCACAGAAAATAGCAAAACAATTGGAAAAAAAAAGATTTTGAACAGTCATATTTATTGGTTGTTTCCAGAAATCAGCGATCGAATTATCATCACTAGAACTCATTATACTACATACAAGTATGAATACGTCTGACTTATGATCTACTATGGATTTACTCTATTTTACTCCGCATGGGGACTAAAGAGTGATATAACATGCTGTCCACTTCACTAGTGTAAACTGGTACGACCTTTAAGGCCAAATTAAGTTGGTTGTACATGTATTTACGTATCAGGTTTCTTAAGTATATGACAATCAATTTAATTTTGTTGAGATTGTAATCTATTTAATTTCTACTCCCTCCGTTTCATATTAAGTGTCACTGTAGAGATTTTTTTGCGTTACAAAATAAGTGTCGTTCTCGGTTTTCAATACAAAATTTATTAATTTTATTATGTAATTTGTTTTTCTATTGGTTAAAATATGGTTAGGTGTATGGGTAATTGTGTTTTTATATAGAAAATATATAAAATTAATTGTTTCCTTAATCTGTGTGCACAGCTGTAGAGTGACACTTATAATGAAACAGAGGGAGTAGATGGTAGTTATTGTGAAAGAAAAACTGTTAATCAAAAACAGGAAACAGAATCATAACGAACATAACCAGTAATAAAATACGCAAAGATAGATATAAGACTAACAAATACTTAAATGAGTTCAATCCAACACTGTCCTAATCTCACGTTAATATTCTTACTTCAATCATAAACTACACCTCAGCACTTAGACACAAAAAGAAAAATCCATTAAAATGTAAAAAGAATAAGTACAAACAGGAAACAGATTGATTGGAGAAAAAAGTAGGAAGCACACTGAATCTTTTATAAAGGCGTAGATGAAGAAAGATTTGGAGCTTGTTATAATAATTTCCTACCCACACCCCCACGAATCTTTTTGGGATATTTTTGAACGCAAATGCGAACTTTGGGGATTTTGATAATTAAGACAAATGAGTTGCTTTCAAACTTTAACTCGAAATATGAGCTAAATCTACAGTTCAAAAAAATATGAGCTAAAATCTACGTGAAGGAAAAAAGAAGTAAAAGCCCCAATATTAGCTGGTGTTATACGTGTGTCATTTAAGACAAGGAAAATTATTTGACTAAGTTATTGGGATGTAGATTCGTTACCCATTTCTACAATTTTAAAATTATACTATCATGAGTTTTCATATTTTACTAGTAAATTCGTATGTTATTGGTTTGGTAATGTTACTGAACTGTAGTGTCACCCAGATATATATTTTATACGGTTTTTTTTATACAACAAATTTTCAAAATCTTATTAATTAAACAAGAAATATTTGATAGATTGTTAAACAGATCTATTCTTCATAATTTCTAAAACCAACCAATTATTTTCAACTAAATCTGGATACCATATAACCGTTACTAATCGTCCATATTTGATTTGGCAATTGAGAGAATAGAAACTGTATAACCCTTTTCATTATAGTCGTGTTATTACTAAAAATGAATTCAATTTTATTTTAATATACGTATTGTGAGTTGTAATTGCGTCCAACCTAGGTTTTGGCAGATTTGAGTTTAGTTTTTCGAACCTAGGTAGTCCAGAATCGTACTACCAGCCAAACTTGCAAAACTATTACGGCAAACACAAAAAAACTCAACGGTTTCACAAGCGACCACATTGTCTGCTTTCATGGATTGGTTATCAATCACAGATCAAACCGACAATCGTCAAGACCATTGATCGTTGCATAAGAGATACCATTCTTGGTCATCAAAAGAAGAAAAAAGCTTTCAAAAAACTTATGCAACTCTGGCTGCGATATGAGTAGTGGCCCTTTGCTGTCACCTTTACTTATTTTGGCATCAACTTCGTTTATCTCTTTTTCCAAGTTGATCCCAAATCTGCAAAACCTCTTTTGTATTATTACTAGAATTCTCATATTTATATGATATTCGTATATCTAGAAAAAAAAACACAAAAAACTCAAGTCGTGCGCTCAACATCATCTACAAAATAAACCGCGATCAGTTTTCTTTTCAATGAACAAAATACATAATATTTTTTTTTGAAAGAACTGGATCGCACTTGTGATATGAACATATATAGAAGCTTTCTCTCTAATATACCAATATGCTATACCAGAAAACCCTCCAAGTTGTCCATTTTATATTTCCAAACACACATTTTAGAAAGATTTGGAGGGTATTTTGGTGGATATGCTATAAAAATAGCCTCCAAATCTTTCTCTCTAATATACCAATATGCTATACTTATTTGTCTCGTATCCAAATCTGTAACAAGTAGTTGCAATGTTATATTTGTATTTCCACCTGTGTTTATGTCAAAGCAAGTAGCCACATCACTCCACAGTTGGAGTTGGTATACATCCGATAACACCGCTTGTATTTCAAAGGGGCATTGACAAAGAGCCCTTATACACTGGATATCCTCCTAATCGTATTATTGCCATTGGACAATGGACACCAAACTCCATTACAATCATCGTTCTTACAAGTTTTTTCATCTCGTGCCAAACTCGGTGGTGTACCTGTACATTACTATATATATATACACTTGTGGATGATGAGGAAGATGAATAAAGCTGAAAAGTAGAAAATATTAGTTTTGTTGAACTTACATGTTGAAACAAGTAATGGCGATGACTATCAAAGCTGTTTTCTCCATTTTTTGTTGTGCTTTAGTTTCTACTTTAATGTAAAACTAAAATGATGAGAGTACTATTTATAATTGTAAAACATAAGTCTTGCTTTTTTTTTCTGAAGAAATCTAAGTCTTGCTTTTACCATTAATAATATGTTATTTCACTTTACAATATACAGTATTCAGCAATGTGTGTCTATTGCTCAAGACTTTCTTTACAACAATATGTATCTTGATTGTAAAAAAACTTTAATGCGTAAATCATATCCTCTGGAACGAGTATCATCCATGTACAACATGTTATTTTTAGATTCTTTCTTAAAAATAAATAAATTATTCACTGTAAAAATTTGACTAAAATAATTACGAATCCAAAATACGTAGATAATCGAAAAAAAGTTATTTATATTAATTGGTTGATGATTGTAATATTAAATTCACTTCAATTTAATTTTTGTTCGGTTAAAACACTCAACCTCGCTTCTTAAACGGTTTTTGCAGAAGGGAAACTTTAAGAAAAACAAGAACTACAAAATTGTTTTTCTTTCCATGTCTAAGTACCAAACCAACCATGAATCCAATGTTGCAACAACACATGTTCAGGAGGGATCAGTTCCAAGTATTACAGTTTACAACAAGAATCATGTCTTTACTTGCCTGCATGACTTAAGTTTGAGCTGGAGCCACAGGTGCAGGAGTAGCTTGCTGCAGCTGCGAGGGCTCGTGATGTTCAGAATCTTTCTTTGCTTCAGGCGACTCAGAGAGTTTAGATTCTTGCACATCTTCTTCTTCCTTTGATGACGCAGCCTTTGGTGACTCAGACAAGTGAACTCTAGCAAACTCATCAACCACTTTCCTCTTGTCCTCTTCCTCAGCCAAACCAACTTTCTCCTTCGCCTTCTGTCCAACTTCCTCCGCAGCCTTAGCCACTTTGTTGAAAGCTCCCGTGACCCACGTGGCACCCGTGAGAACATACCTGTTCTTCATGATAGCCGAGCCTGCATTGCTCACCGTCTGCTCTGCCGCAGCGATTGCTGATTTGGTCTTTTCAGAGACTTGGTACTTGTGATCAACTTCCCTGACTTTCTCTCCCACCACGACGGTTCCGGTGTTGATCTTGTCGGTGAAACCGAGTTTCTTGTCGAGAGATGCGACTTTGGCTGATGCTGTGGATGTTAGCTGGTGTTTCTCATCGAGGCTTTTGGCTTTGGCGATGGCGTCTTTACCGAGGATGAATCCCTTTGCAAGCATGCTGCTGACAACATCTTCGGCTTTTGTTAATACGGATTCGCTTGATGATGATGACGCACGGGGAGATTTGTTGCTGTCCTTGGGTTCCTGGAGATGGGAGATGGTATAAGAGTCTACATCTCAAAGAGATGATGATGAGTTAAAGAGCTTACCAAGGAAGCTAAAGCCTCGGGAGAGAGCTGGTAATCAGGGGCCATAGTGACAATGACTGAAGAATCAACAATCGTTGCTCCCTGAAATAATCTCAGTTAAACTCAGTAGGTAGCTTGAAGGAAACATGGAGGAAGTGAGAAATGATTAAGGAATACCGAGAGAAGAACAGCGGTTTCAGCTCCTTGTAGATCCTTGAAAGTGATATAAGCCAACTTAGACCGTTCTGTCTCGCTGTGTCAAAACATAATCAAAAGAATGAATAATAACCTGAAGAACTAAAAGATCTTCAAAAGAAACAAGAACCTCTGCATCTCAAGGTAGAGAATGTCGCCAGAAAAGGAGAAGAACTCCTTGAGGTCACGCTCGGTGGCTCCTAGAGATACATTACTCACTTTTACAGTTGTCATCTGCAATAAGAAAAGATGCAATCTCCTGAGACTTAAAACACTTAGGCATTAAATCATTACTAGTTTGATTCCACATTTTGTCATTCCTTATCGCCTGGCTAAAACTATGACTACACCACCACACTCCTTAAGCAACCAAACTAATGATAGCTAAGATGAGAAAACACAATGTCATCATCAATAAAAAGTCAAAAAGTTTGAAACTTTGAGCTCACTGGACAATACCCTTTTCAAATGCTGCTGAAATCATTTAACTAAGAACTAATAAATCTCGTTGAAAAAAAACTAATCTTTCTGTCTCACACTAATCCTTTTACATGAATCGCGTTTTAAATCAAATGATATTTACGGGATAACGATCATAAACAGATCTGTACGGAGTCATCTTCCTTAACATCAACTCAACAGCAGAAGAAACCATCGTCGATCTTATCGGGAGAAAAGAAAACGAAAAACCAACTCGTTTTCGAACCAGAGACAAGGAGAAGAGGTTAGAGAGACTTACGGACATGGTGGAAAAATATATCGACGCAGGTCTGAAAACGGAACCAAGTTTGAAACGAAGACGAAAATTCAAAAGAGAAAACTAAAATCTTCGGAAGCGGATTTGATGTGAGAAAAAAAAAGAAAAAAAAAAGTGAGAAAGAAGACCCCACCTAAGGAAAACGGACGAGAAGTCTTCGGTTTTGGCACGTGCTATTGTCGGGATGCAATTTCTCACGTGCGAGGGGGGTAAATTACGTTTAAAAATAATTAAATATCAACAGTTTTGTATTTACATCTGAAAATTATTTTACTCTTATGACCCTTTCACGTCGAAGTCTATACTGAGATTTAATAAGATTTAATTCCTGTTACCTGTTTCTGAGTTTAAAATTTTGTGGTCTAATTCAATTGCTTTAGGCACAAGACAAGACTACATATCGGAAAGTTAGTGAAAGACACATCAGCTAGACTGAAAGAAGTTAGTGAAACTGATCATCAAAGAGGTGTAGATGTAAGTGACTTTCTGTGATTCTTGTTCTTCTTCTTCTGTAGGTATCTGAATTTTGTGTGAGTGTGTTTATTTAGCAAAAGAAGAAGATTTTGGATGCTAAGCTTGCAAAAGAATTTCAATCTGTATTGAAAGAGTTTCAAAAGGCTCAACGTCTCGCTGCTGAGAGAGAAACCTTTTATGCTCCTCCTCTTGTGACCAAACCGTCTCCTCCATCTAGGTAAATACTCATCTTGAAGAATCTAAAAAAATGGTTTATGTTTGTGTGTATTAATTACTTGGCTTTCGTAAATATAGCAATACAGCCAGTGAGATAGATGTGAATGCAGATAAGCATCAAGAGCAGCGTTCGCTTCTTGAGGAATCAAAAAGGTAAGTTTATCCCACACAAAACTCTGTATTTTAGTTACTGAGATTATTTATATTTTAATTGTTTTGTTGTTGCAGACAAGAACTTGCACTGTTGGATAATGAGGCTGTTATTGAGGAAAGAGAGCAAGCGATAGAAGTAATCCAGCGGCAAATTAGCGAATTGCATGAAATTTTCAAAGACTTGGCACAGTTGGTACATGATCAACGACCTATGATTGGTAAAGTCGTACTAAAACCTTCACTTGTGTCTTCATTTTTTTTTCTTTCAAATCTAACACCTGTTGTTTTGTAAGCAGATGATATATGTACTAACATTGATAACTCCCACGCTGCAACTGCACAAGGAAATTCCCATCTCGCAGAAGCCTCAAAGACACAAAGATCGAATTCTTCTCTGGTAAAAATGATCCAAGCTTTTGATCATACCAAGAATATGTTTTTTTTGAGGATTTAGGATGATGATAAGAGCAGCCTGTAAACTCCTTTGCTACTTGTTTTCCCTTGCAGACGTGCTTACTCTTGGTGGTTTTTGGTATCGTGCTCATGATTGTTATTATAGTACTCGCTGTTTGATTTTCCAGAACTCATGAAAGCATGAAAGAAGTTCATCATCAACGATGAGTGTGTTGGACTATTGGTCTTTTTGTCTCTTGTTATTGAGTATATAGAGTAGTTCTGTTTGGTTGGTTTGGGGTTGCAGTTTGGTTTTGTGGGTGTTGAGTTTTGTCAGAAAATGTTTCTGCTTTGTCTCTGTGATACATTCTGTTGCAGACAAGAGTGAATGATGAAAGGGAAAATTTTCTATTTGTGTTTTACTTAAAAAGTGAAATTCTTAGTTAGGATTAGCTGATCAAGAAGCTTAGTGAATCTTATAAACAATGCAAAGGTCGAGTCAATTAATTTTACTCGTACGTAAATTATCTACAAAAATGCAGGCCTTGATTTAGATAACAAGCAGCTGAAGGAAGAAAACTTCTACAAGAACAGCAAGAGGTTGCTGTAGCATTGCTTCCATCAGTATCATATATATCCACAAAGTTCTGTTTACTTTCTATTACGTAAATGAAGATTTCTACACAAACTAGACTTAATAAGAAAAAAACCTTTTAGTCAATAACCATCAAGTTAGTAGAGAAAGACTATACAATTTTGACACTAAAACATAATCCTTCACAGTTGCTCTCTCTCTGAAGTGAGAGGACCCAGCTCCTCTATAAGCTTATCCACATTCTCACCATTTGCGTTGCTGCTCTCCAGTGTCGTCTCATCTCCAAAAACTGGGCTTTGTGCCAGATACTCTTCAAAGATATCACAGTTACTCATCAGTTCATCAATATCAAGGTCTTGAGGTAATCCCTCGAGCTGATTCGGTACTGAATCACCGTCAAGGAACCGGCTCGGAGATATGAATGCCTCTGAAACATCCTTCTCTGTAGAGGAGTCATTGATGCTCTCATGTGGCATGGGAGGAAACATTGGCATTACAGTATCAGGTAAGCAAGTTGAAGCAGAGGGTAAATAGGATAAAGGCTGGCTCGAGGGTTCGGGTGCGTATGCTTGTGATTGTCCTGAAGTTGTGGGAAGCAATACCCTATCTTGCAAAGTGACTCCAGAATCCTCCTTTGGCGACGAGAACCCATCAAGAAACGGTAACTTCTCATCAGTGTTCATCATGTTCCATATCGAATCGCTTCTAATAGGCTGATACTTAACAATCTGTCCATCAGCAGCAGAAGCGTTACCACCATCCTCTGTGAGTCTCCGCTTCTTACTAGCCTCAGTCACATGCATATTACCACCACCATCACTCTGCTGCTTCTGTATGAACTGCGAGAGGAAAGTCGGATTCTGAACAGCTTTAGCAAGGAAAGACATGATCTGCTGTTGCCTCTGCTCCATAGTCTGAAGACTCTTCACCATAGACTGAAGCTTGCTGTCCGTTGATTGTTGCTGCTGGCGTAGCTTCACTAACTCCTGCATCAACACGTTCTTGTCTCTCTTAAGCTGCTCAACCTCTTCCTCTAACCCAAACTTCCCAACTTCAACACATGAAGATAACGCAGCCATTGAGCCTTGTCCCTGATGAGACTGTGGCTTACTACTATCACTACTACTACCATGTCCCTGAGTAGATTTCCTCCGGCTTATCCTCTTCAAGAGATGCTTTTGACCTCTCAAGAAACCTTCGTTCGCAAACTCCCACCGATCTGGATCCACTTTCCTGAAACCCTGTTGAGAGTCACATGAAAAGTTTGAAACTTTCTAAAACCTGAGATCATATGAGTCATGAAAGATTGAAACTTTTAATCAACGGCTGTGATTGAATTTGAATCTAGGGTTTTTTTATTGAGGAAGATTTACATAGGTGTTCAACTGACGAACGAAGCTGGAGAAATTGTTGTGTTTGAAGTATTTGGGGAGGAGGGAGCGAGAAAACTCCGGCGGGTCCCACACGACGAAGCTGTTGTTCGCCGGGCTCCACGAGACGATCGCGTCGCTCGCCGGATCTTCCACCATGTCATACGTCTTGCTGAGGAAAGGAGGCGGTAGGGAATTGGGGTTGAGAAGCGTCGCTGGATGAGGGTTTCGGAGCGGCGCCGTCGTGGGATCGCCGGTTTTTGAGTCTCCGCCGGTAACACCATCCATCGTCTTGTATCGGGGAGAGAGAGAGAGAGAGGGAGGAGAAGAGGGTGAAAATGACTTGGAAAGTTACGATATTACCCTTTTTATTTTGGGCTCTGTGATGGCGCGAGAGGACACGTGTCGCTATTTTTTGGTGGGCTTTTATGTTTTTTTTAATATATTTGTGTGCGGGTCCAAAAAGTTAACGATTAGAAGGAACTGGGCCTAAGCTGTGATTGAAATAATTGGAGGGTGGTTAAAGACAGGACCATCCAAGGAAGGCCAGGCCAGATGGATGGAATGGTCGAGCGAATGGATTAGCTAAAGAGACGAGAAAAAAATGATTAGACCAGATTTATATTTTTCCATATAGATTAGACCATGTTAGATGGAGATGCTCCCTATGAAGATCGACTCGTGTGCTTACCAATTGATCTAGTTTTGGATGGGCGGCTAATAAAGGAAAAAAATTATAGCTAATGATGATCTTAAACTCTGAACATATTTCGGTTACGATGCAGAATCATCCTCCTCTGCTTTTTTTTTTTTTTGTTTGCGTTTCAAGCTTTTGAGAATATTCAATACTCATCAAATCAAGTGATTCTAGTGGTGGAATAACGTCACGAGTACTAATCAACTGGTGATGGTTGTGTACTTGTGTTTACTAGATCTCTATTCATACCCTAAACCTTTTTTTTTTCAATGGATCTATATTAATACTGAAATAAAGAAAGACACCAATGTTTAGAACCCAGTCCAAATTGGTGGGTAAAACCATGTTAAACTGTGAACCAAAAACATATATTAACTGCCAAAATCCAAAACCATTAAATAAGCGACTCAGATAAAAACGGGTTTGTTTATAATTCAATGCAATAAACTAATTTTGTTGATAATTTTTTATTCTTTCAAACCGATATAATTAAGCTTATAAAAAAATAACACTTCTACAAATAAAAAAGTTTAAAATTTTCTTATTATATATCTTTTTAATACATAATTCACTACTATAGATCTTTAAAGTTTTTTTTATATATTTGCTTTTATGTAGAGTTAGTGGGGGAGGGGGGGGGGTTGGATATGTAAAGTTTATTGATTTTATAAAAGGTGAGAAATTTGTTAAGATTGTAAAGAATTTCAAAAAGTGTTGCATATTTAAGAAATTTAAGAAAATGTTATATAATCACCACCAATGAACGCTAACTTAATGTTTTTTATATTTTATTTTCTAACAACCATTAGAAATTCAACTTTCCCTAACTTCCCTTAAATAATTAAATTATTGATTTTTTCTATTTGATATTTATTTAGTTTATATTTAAATTTTATTTCACCATTATTTAAATTTGAAATTTTAGAAACATTGTGCTGATTACTCATGCTAATTACTCATGCATCTATTTTGATCAGGGTAGACCTAAAGCACAAGCCATTCAAACCACGGATTATGGCATCCAATATACGAAGGGGCATATTTTTTTTAACATTTCTTACTAACTTCATTATTTCTAATGTCCAAAACATAGTTTATACCAAAAATTGATAGCCATCATCAGAGTATTTGCAACAAAATTATTAATTACGAGTATTATCAAATAATTATTATTTTTAAGCCTGTAAACTCTAGATTGGCTTGCATTTGCGCTTCTCTTAGAAGATCATCTGCAATTCTCATTCTTTTTTCAATGTCACTGTAATAATTATTGAGTAAGGATTTCAAAGGTCTCTTAAGACATTTAAGCTTGAAACAAAAGTTCCTTAGATTAGAAATTGTTGGGCCCAAACTGAGACCATGCCTCAGTGTCTGTGTTAATAAAGTTCTGATTCTTGAACAGATTTTAAAACCGGAATGGTCGGGTGCCAAAAGATGGTGATTCGGAGAGAAGTTGACTACATAAAGAGTGTGATCTAATAAGTCTAGTGCCACAATTTTTACCAAAAAAAAAAAGTCTGGTGCCACAACAAAAAACAATGACTGGCTGGGGAATGAAGAAGCCAGCGACCACTAATCAAGCAACAATTTATCTTTTTTCCTAAAGAGTAGCAGGATGCTTATTCGTCCAAGTAAAGATCAAACATGCCGAGATCACCTAAGCATTCCCCAAACATGTGCAGACCCTTAAACGTCCGTGTGATTGAAGATCCGCGAACAATATACCCTAATCTGAACCAAATTGTATTCAACTCTGAACACTGGTAGTTATCCAAAAACATCACTCAGAACTTATAGTTAAAAAAATAGAAAGCTTTACTTCCTTAACACATTTTCAAAAATCCCCCATAGAAACTGGCTGAATATTAAGCCAAGTAGATAGCGGGCCATGTTTTGATGTCTCATTTAATCTCCATACATAAATTGTATTCGACATGGAGCTAGTTGATAGGGTGGTCCTTCTTTCATTCAAGTGAAAGAATTTAAAATAAACTTTTAAATAACTAAAGATAAAATTCTAAACACAAACATTTTATTTATATTTATCTTTACAAACAATAATATTTATAGGTGAAGCAATACATATGACAACGATGAGTTTGGTGCAAATGCACTTTACATAAATCAGTGGGTAGCAAACTGAATCTTTACAAGTCACGATATATTTTTATACATTCTACGGAACAGATTGTAACTATTTCAGAGACCTCTAGGACAGATGGGAATTTGCAGCGAGATTTACACACACCACAAACCAGTCGATTTATACGATAATTAGGAATCAGAGAAAACCTATCTACCTTTCCTGGTTTAATCCAGATGAAGTCTCCGAGCGTACATTTAATATGACAAGTGATACCACAATGATCACATGAATAAAACCATTTATTAGGATTAAGATCTTCTTCACATACCTCACACCAGTACTGCACACTACTATTTTCTCCGTAACATAGAGATAACAAATGATCTTTATCATTTTTGTGGTTTACCATCTTTGGCAAAATAGAACATTTAATATCTAAAACAAATTCACATTCTTCGCAACTCAAAACCACAGATGCCTTATTTCCACAAGCAATGCAGCTTTTGTCTCCAGTTGAGTAATTGATGTACAATGAATGAGGATGACTTTCATGGACAAAAGGCTCAGAAATAGAACCACATCGCACATCAAGGGAGAGATTATTATTGTCACTTATGTATGCTGAACCTCGAACAAAGTTTTGACAAACACTGCATATAAATAATTCATCAAATCTTGATACTAGAGTCATAGGCAACATATAGAAGGAGTCTTTTATCTTTTTTGGAAGATGAGCACATTTCTGATGAACGGTGAACTCATCACATTCCATGCAATCGTAGAACGAGCTAGAAAATATGGGATATGAACATATGTCACACCACATGCATTCATCATTAGCATCACTCTCTTCTTTGAGCTTTAAAGTATGCTTCTCGTGACTAAAATGCTTTATAACTCCTTCTTTGATCTCCTCGTATGAATTTAAATCTGTCATATCTTCAAATATGTCTTCATGTTCAACACCATCCCAAATCCCGAACTTCGTGGCACATTTCACATGAAATGCTAAACCAGGACATTTCGCGCAAGAATAAGCTCCACATGTCCAGATTATCTCTTTCTTACACACTCCACATTTCCAATCTCCGGCATTAAGGCGTTGATTGTAGCTGATACGATGAACATGGCGATTTATTTTTATGATGTTTGGCATGTTTATACAACTTCTATGGATCATGAAATTGCACTGAAAACATACATATGGATTTGGATCATCACTCATTCCACAAGCATTACAAACAAAAATTCGTTGAGGCAAAAGAGTGAGTTGATGTCCATGAGATTTTAGATTGATAAGAGTGACAGGGGGTGGACTCTTTACACAATCTAGATCCACACTGAAGTTGCAGATAGAACAATGATAAAACAAAATATGAAGCTTGTTTCCACACAAGCAACATTTCCCATCAATGTAACTTGGAACACGTGTGAGAAGCTTGAGAGGGTGATAAGGATGACAAGAGTAGTTGATCTCTGGTGGAGATTCAGCACAGTCTTTGTGAAATCTCAGCTCACATAAGTGACATCCATAAGGGAACCGATCATCAGGAAGTTCACATATACGACATGTAAACATAGTCATCTCTGGAACAAGGTATAAAGGATGCTCATGGTTCTCTGGATCTTGAATCGTCTTCATAACACTTTTTCTTGTGCATATCAAATCGATTGCAAATTCACATACTGAACAATAATAATACATTTTGGACAATTTACCTCTACAAAGCTTGCATTCACCATGGACATCTTCAATTTCTGAAAACACCTTGATTTTTAACGTATGTTGGGGATGATATGGGTTGAAAACTTCGTACTTCGAGTCAGCACATTCCTCGTGAAAGAAGAAACCAGAACGAAAGCAGCGATAACCATCACTATAGTAGTTTTCACCAAGATTGCATGCAGCACATTTCAGCCCACGTGTTTTGTATACTAAATATACTTTGTAGAGTTCTTCCATAGATGCAATAAAAATAAGCTTTTGTGCTTTCAATAATCTCTTATGTTTTGGTTGTACTGAGAGCAGTCATTATAAATAATATGATATATATATAAGATTGCCATATTAAGTTATTCTTTGTTCAAATAAAAATGACACTCTGAGAATTATGCTTTTCTTTATATTGATGATAATGCAACTTTAACGAATAAATTCTTCTAACTTAACTTTTGGTGATTTTTTTGTCAAACCAAAAGAGAAAGCCAAGTATATCATAATTAAGAATATTTCTACATTGAATATGTTCTTTGTTGAATTAAAAGGATAAAACTATGAAAATGCCTATCTGTAACAAAAAGATACCGGAAAGATAAACCAATAAACAAGTTAGGTCAAACTTACACAATAATTATTCTAAGGAAAAGAGATAAAATAAATATCGCATTTGTCCGATTTGGCCAACATAAGCTATTCTAAAAAATTCTCTTCAACTTTAAATTAGCCAAGTCATTATAAATCTAACCATCAGTAAACTTGTATCTAATATGGTTTGGCTAAGTCCCAAATGAGAAATATGTTCCTTTAGTGAACTAGATAGGGATCTATGGACCAATCATATAGGTTTTTGGGAGAGGGGAGGCAGTTTAGAAAAGAAGTAAAATGAATAATTTTCAGTAAATGGAGGTTATTCGAACACATGATTTCGATATATAATTAATATCATAAAACGAATAGAACTATATTTCGTTTGGATTTACAAATATTATTAAAATACACAAACCAATAACTCCACCAAATATTTTGATAGTTAACCTAAACTAATTACTACTTAAGTAACATTACTTTAACTTTCTGAAATCTAATTGCTACAAGTGACATCTCATAGTCCCCTAATTACAAAGAATATACATTATGCACACATCTACCTAAAACCAGATTCCAGTGTTTAAGTGAGTCTGGATATTTTTCTTCTTTAAATACTTAGGCATAGTATTTTATTTGTTTAGTTTACATTATTCTTCATGTTTATACTTGAATCACATTAATAGTGTTTTTAATATACATTATCAGTTGATCCAGTTAACTCCAGTAGAAAAAACATTTATTGCTATAATAGAGACTTTTTCTAAAATTGCCACCACACTTGAGCCAACTAATATCAAAGTTAGCCAAATTTTGTTCCCGAACGACCATGTAAATTATTTAGACCAAAGCTCAAAATTCTGACATAAACCGATTTTTGCTTTAAGAAAGGCTCAAACGCCTGAAAGAGTGTTTTAGCATATTCTCATATTTCACCTATCACTTAACCACAACCATGTGTGCATCAACTTGTACATTTAACCACTAGTCCAATAAAGATACTTGACAGTTGAAATAACTTAGTTTACACATTCCTTGGTCCTAGTGGTCAGGTACATAGACAAGTAGGTAGGGATGGCAATCAAAGACCTGGACCGCGGGCCTGGCCCGTAAAGGCTTGCTGCGGGGCGGGATTGGGCCTTCATTTGATAAGTCCACAAAATTACGGGCCTCGCGGGACAGGCTCAAAATGGGACGGGTCGAATGTGGGACGGATCGAATGCGGGACAGATTAACCCGCAGGATTTTGAAGACCCGCAACCATAAGTCCCTATTTCTGTCTAGTTTTGTTTTCAGTATTATAAATTGCCTTATTACTATGTGGAATTTTCTTGTTTAAGCTGATGAGTTTTGTTTTCAGTATTGTCAAGTGGTGTTTTTTAAAAAAAATTAAATTTTGTTACAATGATGTTGTTAAAGAGTTACTGCTTGTTGAAGAACTACTGTTTGTTCTTTAAACGGTTCGAACTGAGAGTTTGGGTTACTGCAGAATCTTGTCTTTACACTCTAAGTTCAACAGCTTGGTTGAAAGAGAAGAATAAACCATTAGTATTAAGTTATTGTTGCTATGAAGAGACGTTGCTTTACAAAGAATCAAACAAGGAATATTCTTGAAAGAGTTAAATTTTACTGTCCAAATGACTCTCACTTACTTCAAGACCATTAAACCATCGAGTGATCACATTGGATGTTTTTGCGGTCGATGTTGTTCAGCTCTCTTCAACTTCTTTACACAACTCTTATACTTTAACATTCATGAAGGAAACTGAAGGAAACGTCCCGCGAAGGCTTATGAATTATGCGGTACGGGATTAGATAGCCATTCAGAAGACCGCAGCCCACGCGGGACAGGCCTGCCATGACCCACTCGACGATGAACCCGCTGCGGTACGGGACGGAACGGGACGGGAAAGCCCAATTACCATCTCTACAAGTAGGGGAAGCAAACTACTGACAATAGGTTTCAGTTACTTCTATAGAATACTGTAAAACCCGAAGACCTTCTCTTTGTAATGTCATTATTAAGTGGAAGTAATTTATTTTAAATAAAATGAAAATATCTAATAAACAAAATAAGATTTCTAATTTTATATTTAATAATAAGATATAGTAACTAATTATAATAAATTTAATGAAAAATCTTATTCTGAAAATTAGTTAATATCATTATATTAAAAAATTAGTTGACAGTTCACATACAATATAAAGCCAAATCATTCAAGATAAAAATACATGCTATACAAACAATTTAATGAAGACAAGCTTCCTACATACCAACCCTTAGTTCATAGTAAGTCAATGCTCTCAGAGACTGCCTATTTCGATTTTTGAAATATTATGTAAAAGTGTACAAGCAAAAACTGATCTTGAACGTTACTATACAAAATTATTATTATTATTATTATTATTATTGTTATTATTATTATTATTATTGTCTTTTGTATGGGCATTTTCCGTAACGCATGTTCCTTTTTAGTTTCATATAACGTGATGAATGAAAGAAAACAACTAGAGTTAACTTTTATGAGCCATATATCCATATATTTGAAGTTTATGTTTTCCAGGAAATTTGATCCACTGCCACAAAAAACTATAATGATTTAAATGTACATAACAATCTAATGATTACAATACATCCAATATATTATATACTAGTTTCCATTTCACCTCTAAGTGTAGTGTTATTTTCTTGTTATAAGCATGTTTCCCTTCTAATTTTTGTGGATTTAAATTTTTATTAAAGCAATTCTTTTTTTGTATTTTACATATTAAAAACATAGATTTATTTTCCTATTCATTACATATTTTGAAAAGTTTAACTCACAAAATTTATACTATGTCTCATAAATTAAGTTTTAAATATATTATAAATTATATGAATTAGTATAGTTCAATTTTATTCTGAAACATAACATCATTTTGATGTGTTCTATTCTATTTTGAAAATATAGAATATAATATACAATCTCCCTCTAGGACAATATTCCACGGTTGAGTCACTAATAGTAACATCAAAAAACTTAAAAACATAGAAATTTAATTGACATACTCAAATTAAAAACTATAAAGAGAAATAAAAAAAAGTTACACTAACATTTTCTTATTTGAAAGGCTTATATCAAACTGGACTAAATATGAGAAGTGAATCCATATATTTAAAATATTAAAACATGTATTGATTTTATGAAAGAACATAAAATAAAATTTCTATCAATTATAATTCGATAATATAATAAACATTCTAAGTTAATAATTTTTTTCTGGTCTCAAATTGTGACCGTTCAAAATATAACACAAATGGATAAAATAATAAATTTTTTATAAAAAAATATAATATATAGTTTGATTAAAATTATAAATTATTAATTTTATATTTACATATTTATATAAGTACGAAACTGTCATTACATTTTTTATTATAATAGAATTATCTTTATATTTTCTTAACACTTAATATATTTTACGAGATTTAGTAAAATTATATCTAAATCATATTTAAATTCTATTAAATATATTTTATATACAGAAAATAAAATAATAAAATCCATACACATTTCAAAAAAATAATTCACGTATATACAATAAATCATTTTTTCTTATTTTAGAAGAAAATATAACCTAAATAGATAAATTTAAATATATATTTTTTTTTAAAATGATAATTTTATAAATTAAAAAATATCATAATCCTAACGCTATTAATTTACAGAGTTTTTACTGTATTTACTCTTCACTTTACGAATTTATCTTTTTCATCTCACTCTGTAGCAGCTATAGGCCCGACCCCGACCCATATATAAAATGCACTATCTGCATTTTTGAGGGCCTTTTTCTCCATAAAAATGGACCCTAAATATAAACAAATTTTCTGTTAAAAAAAATGGGCCTTGTGCTTTTGCTCCTCTGGCACATGCCAAGAGCCGCCCCTAACAATTCCTTCTCTTCTTACCATATTATTTGCATCTAACGGGGCTTATCGTTGCTTTTTCTTACTCTTCTGTAACTGAAACTTTTGTATTAACATGATCTCTGTTTGTATCCTTGTAAGCTTTTGGATTTCATTCTCTGCGTCGGCGGAGATGATCGACCTGATGATATTTGTCTCCCATGGCTGAGATATTTGCTTGCACCCTGGGATAAAGCTAAATACTATTGGGGTGATACGGCGGAGATAATCAGAATGCTTGAAGGTCTAGTCACCTCCGCCGCAACTAACTGATCAAAACCGCTTCGAGCACTGATGTTCCGACAAAAGATCCCTTTTAAGGATGTGTGAAATGAAGTTCAATGAATTTGTTGTTGCGACTTGTGAATGGTTTTCAAGTTGAGGAAATGGCTTCTTCTTTTTTTTATGTGTTAGTTCCAAATCTTTATAATCGACTAAGGTATTCAAATCTTATGTCATACATATTACATATATGAATAGAATCAAGTTTATATCAATTTAAATGATAATCGAGAGCGTAGAACAAAGGTGCTCTTATATTCGTAGATGACTTGTTTAGCAAGTAATAATTACTAATTGAAATCCTTTGTTTTATTATTTTCCAGTGGATATGTGATCAAATACAAATTTAAAGTTTGTGTTGGCAATGTTCCTCAATCTATATACTGTCACTGTATATGAAATTTGATTTTGTTTGATTCTATAGTTAGAGACTTATCATACGTTTTTTTTGTTGTTGTAAAATGACTTATCATATGTTTTTATCCACAAGATTACTCGGAAATGTGATTTAATATAGAAATGCGATTACAATGTGTTTCTTTACACAACAAACAAAATCATATAGAATAATACAATACAAACATGCCTTTATAAGAAAAGAAATACAAACATATAAATCAATAATTTTGTTACAAAAGAATAATAAATAATATCAATCCAACGTTTTGTGTATGAATTTTCTTTAAAACTATGAGTATACGACTTGAACAAAATCCAGTTCTACCACTGGCCGGGTGACGATGTGGGCGACGTTAAGCTGCACGTATCAAATAGTGAACTCTGTTAGTAGATGTTGTTTTAATTTAAGCAAGTATATTTTGCTACCAAAATATATATAATTACTAGATAACTAGATCGTGTATATTAAAATTAAAATGAGGAGAAAAATATTACTCTAGGAAACTTTTCCAGCAAGAGTCACTTGTTTCATCATCAAGGAACTTCTCCCAGTCCTCTAGGACATCCGAGCCGGTTGAGTGTTGAGTCGTGCCGGGATAGTTCAAGCCAGATGTTTCAGGAGAAATCGATATCGAATCAGTAGATGGGTTCTCACGTACTTGATCACCATAATAACTCGGCATCATACCGGTTCCAGCTTGATAATTTACCTCAGTAGTAGTACTGGTACCCGGTTTTCCTGAATTCAGATTCTTCTGAGAAACCGTAACCAAACCGGGAAGCTGGTTATCTTCAAAACCGTCCCATATATTTTCAAACGATGGCATGAAATCTTCATTTGCACTTTGGTTTATGATAACATGTTGGTCACTAGCATTCAGTTGTCCAGCCGCCTGCTCCGGTTTAGGATTCACTGACTTGGTATTGAAGCTATTGACTACTAGCTCCGGTTTAGGATTGAGTGAATTGGTAGTGAAGCTATTGATGCTTGGTATGGCTTTGGGGGTTATGATTTGAAGCATCTTATGGATCAGTTGGAGTTTGAGAAGATCTTCCAAAGCAGTGTTGTTGTTGAGGAGGTTACTGTTACCAAATTGGCCGTTGCTAATAGCCGCCGCAAGCATTTGAGAAACGTCGAGGATAGGGCTAAGATCGTTGGTTTTTGGCTCGTGCGTGATTGGATCAATCCCCATTTGCAACATCTTCTTCCGCATATGAGTGTTCCAATAGTTTTTTATTTCGTTATCGGTTCTTCCTGGAAGATGACTCGCAATCTTCGACCATCTATAAAATGAAATTAGATTTCAAGCGTTACAACAATAACCAAAGATTAACATTTTGCATGGTTAGAGATCTTAAGCTGAAGATCAGAGTAGTTTTGAAAACTTAATCATATTTTAGCAAAAGTATATATACACTACAATGGAAGATAGTTTGTGTTTTATGTCATGCATAATATTATGACGTATATTTTATTCTAAATAAACCCACAAGGGCCACCAAATTTATTTGTTCTCGTAAGCGCAAACACTAAAACACAAAATAATATCTAAAATTCTAATATAAACCTTTTATATAAACTGAAAATGTTTTATAGTTCAAAAATGTTAAATATGTAAATTTTTATTATACAATAAAAGTCTTACTTGTTGCCAAGAAGGGCATGGAGTCTAACGATAGTACTCTCTTCTTCATCGGAGAACTCCCCTCGCCGGATATCAGGCCGTAGATAATTCATCCACCGAAGCCGGCAGCTCTTGCCGCAGCGGTTAAGTCCAGCGAGCTGAGGGATCGACCGCCACTTCCCATAACCGTTGTTATTTATATAAGCCGTGAGCTTTTCATCTTCTTCAGGCATCCACGGTCCTTTCTTCACGCCTTTGTCTTGATCGCAACACGGTGATCTTCCCATTTTGTCTATATATCTCGTCTGATCAAGAACCCTAATTAACTTCTTGAAGATTATCTTCTTCTTTTTTTTTTTGTAAAAATATCTTGAAGATTACTCTTTCTTTCGCAGCTCTCTACGTTCTAGTTTGTATGTATATTTATACACATGTGCGTACTGCGTAAAGGAGCCATCACATAAGTAAAGTTATATGCATTCGTCAGAATCTTGTGTAAATATTATTTTTAATAGTGTGTGACAAGTCTACAATTTATGAGTCATACACAAAATAAGTTGAATAACCAAACCAAGATTAGGTAACGAATGATAATATGAAATGTGTCATGGCGTTCGCAGAGTAATTCGTGAGGAATGATGCTCGATCAAAGAAAGAACGTTTATATATCTTTTCCCTAGCAATGCTAACCTTATTGAAATTTGATTTCTTTTAAAAATATATATTTGCTCAAAAAAAGAGAATTAAAACCCACATTTTCAAATAAATATATGATAGTTTTGAATATTTCCCATATATATGTTTCGGTATTTTGGTTAATAAAACCTATAGTTTGATATGAAAAAGGTTAAAACTTAGAGTGGATTTTTTGCTAAACGCATGATAATAAATTCAAAAGGTTAACTATTTTTCTTGAGTTGTATATATAAGTAATATTTAATTGTATTATGCTAAATCATGTTCTCATTGCAATCTTCATCAAAATTGGAATCTTGTTCTTACCATTTTGTGATTGCTTCCACCGCATTCAAAGACGACTCTACCTGCTTCAATCAAAGCCGACTCGTTCTCTCTCCGTCCTCCATTTGAATTCAAATTAATATTGTTCGTCTTAATTCTCCTAACGAAACCATATAACCACTTACGTAAATTCAACACTCCCAAAAGATAAATACAGTCACAAATATTCATCTTTGCTTAAATGAAATGATTAATGGAATTATCATTACTTGTACATTTTTTTACGAAATAAATTGTCTCCAGTTTCTGCTTTTTAGATATGTACACTGTTATACCAAATAAAAATAAAAGTTTATTTTTTGGTGAAAGTTAACTAATTTTAAATATTTATTTTGATACAAATTTATTTTTAATTAAAAACATTATGCATATTATTATTTGTATTTTTGAATAAATATATAAAATGAATGGTACTATTTGGTTGTAAATAATATCAATTAAGTTTTTAACATATATATAATCTAATGGTTATCTAAATTATTTTAGATGAAAGATGCATCAAGAATTTATAACATTTTCGAAAAGATTTTATATTTTGAAGTTTCTGAAATTCTATATTTGAAGTTTCAACGTGTTTTTTTCAAAAGTAAAACTTCAAACGTAACTTCAAAATTATTTATATTTTATAGAAGAAAATACTAAAATTAATATACAAGAGAGAGGAAATTGAAAACATTGTACATAAACATATGAAAAGCTTTTCCAATTTGATTTACAGAAGTTTAATTGAGTTTGTTATATTGACGACAAAGAAAAATATGAATAAGCAAAAAGAAACAAATTATCAAATGTAGTGCAAAGGAAAAATATATCTTTATTGATGAGAGTCAAATTATTAATCTCAAACAACTTATATCTATAAATTTTAAGTGTTAAGCATATTCAGATAACATTCAAAAGGGTCAATTGACCCTCCTAATTGTGAACCAGCTCCGCAGTTAGATGATCCTTTAATACAAGATCTGCAAATTAATATTGTAACGTAATTCAATAGCTTTATTCATTTCTCTTAAAGATCTTCTCTCGAGGTTTCATAACATTTATTCGATAGCGTAAGGAACACATAAACTAGAAAGTGGATTATATTAGAAGGTGTAACCATAAAGTTGGTATTATATATTACGTTGAATTATACTATTGGACTTTAACAAAAATCTTACATGTAATAGAATCTTTGTTGTCTTCAAAAGAATGAGATATATCACGACAAATTAGAAGAAACATAAAACGAAGTTTCCTTCAGTTGGAGAAAACCTTTATTGTAATTTAATAATGAGATTTCACTCTCACAGAAAATCTTGATATATATATATACTTAATCACTAAACCGTTAATTACTATCATGGATTAAAGGGTCAATGTTCAGGCTTGATTCACACTGTCAAATTAAAACCAAACATCTACCAACTTTTTGTTTATCTCGTTGACTATATAAACAGTCGTATAAACTAAGGTTTCCATATAAGTAGCAGCACATCGTATATCTAATTCATTTCTTATATTTATGTGACATTGTCAACGAGTTGTAGATAAGCCAAAGCTAAAATTTCCATGTTACGTTACTGTTTCTCCACATAGATATTTCGTAGATTGCTGTTAAGAAAAAAAGAAGATATTTCGTAATTAAATACTTGTAAATTGACATCCAATGGTTTCCTTCTATATCGGTCCGTATATAAAATAGTTTTCCCAATCCAAATTAACCCGATACATGCACTTAAGCATTCTTGAATTATACTGCAAACCTACTTATACTATGCTGTTTAACCCAAAAAAAAACTTAGTTCTTTTTTATCGTATTTGAATTCATAGCTTACGATATTCTTAAAGTCTAAATATCGAATAAATGATCTACTTTGGTGTAATGATAATAGTATATACTCTATTGTTTTAAATAAATAAAATTTACAAAAAAATTAATTTTCGGACCAGATCTTTTAAAAGCATTGTAAAATATTTCACATGTAGTATATATGAAATTCAAATTATAAATGTGGAATAGTTCAATACGTTAAAAGGGATTTCTTCTCTGCTGCCGAGCTTAGACTTGAGTGTGCAACTCCTTATGAGAAAGAAAACTTAATACATGAACCGGGTCTCGTCAAGAAACAAAATATATGTGCCAAATGCAAATATTTTGTGTGACACTGTGGTCAATAAAGTAAAATGAGATTTGGGATAAGTTTTTAATAGAAGCTCTTATCTCACTTTCTTGCAAAGGAAGTATATAATTTGGTAGATGGGAAAATCTTGGAAAAGTCAGTTAACTTGTAAAAAGTATTAACGACCCATGGGCAATCTATACGTAAAAATATAATGCAAACAAAATTTAGAACAATAAAGTAAACACAATTGCATAAAAAATACCCTATTTGCAAAAATTTCTGTAGAGTTGTCTAATATTAAAGCAAAACAACCGTGATCGTGTCTCTTGGAGACGTATATGTTTTGGTCATTTACAGCAACACAACCATTATTTGTCATATTATAAGTTGTCGTTACATAACGAACTATAATCTTAATTTGACACTACTAACGTTATTTTTGTCCAATAAGCAGTTAACTAATTTTAATGGAACAAAAATCACACATTTTTTAAAGAATTCTAGATATGAATGCGCGTTTCTACATACACGTGTATTATGTCTGTTATTATAAACTGTCAAATGAACATGGCCGATACTATTAATTAGGTTTTTAACATTAATTTTTACTTTCTGTTGATGGAAATTGATAAATGTATATATATACACGCTTTCATTTCTACTATTTAAATTGTTTGGATATTAAAACTAGTTTGTTGTAGAAACGCTTTCAGTTCTACATTTTCAATTGTTTCAATTCTACTTATTCAATTGTCTGGATATGCTTATTTGCCATCCAAAAAGGAAAAAAGATATATTCATACAAAATAAAGAAATAGTTATATCATTATGTAATATATTAGAAAAATGTATTTAAAGAAATTTTGATTCGGTTAAAACTAGTTTGGGTTATTCAGTTGTAGACAAATGGAACTGAACTTGTTGGAAGGACATTATAGTTACTGATTTAAACCTTCGCTTTGGTTCAATTCTCTCTGGAAACAAATGACATGCTGATTTTGTCGAAATTTGAAACACTTCATTTTGGTCAGAAAAAAGCCCCTTTAATTATAGAAAGCTAAAGGCAAAGTCGAAAGAGCCCACGACCCAAGGAAAAGGACTAAAGCTGTGAATTGCTTTAGGGACATATGCACTACCATTTGATCCAAAAAAAAAGGACATATGCATTACCGAGTCCTTAAATTTTTTTTTTTAATTACTTTTTTCAGATTAAAAAAAAATATATATATATCAACTAATTGTGTACCGTCACATGTCGTAAATACGGAACGTTTTTCGTACCCTATAAGTATTTTTCTTTTTTTTGTATTTTTGGTTCGATGACATCGGACTTGTGTGCTATACGTTTTACATGCAAGAACCTTGCTCTACCAGCCTACTATATATTTGTGTTCAGCTTCATTTAAGAGAAGCTATTTCATTAAAATAGCATTGTTTACAGGATTTTTAGTTGAGTGGTTTAAATTTCGATTTCTTTGCACATATGAACCATCCACCCCCGACTATCCAACACATAACAAGATTGATCTAAATGACAATAAGAGGGAACGAACTAAATCACCTGACCACCATGCGTTAAATACTTTTCAGGGTTAATAATCCATAGAGGATTAGAATTATTTTGAATGATCTAGAGCCAATACTCTCGATTGAGGTGAGAATGTAGGTACATGTGGTGATGATGATTCATGGCGGACTCTTTCACGCTTTTCGATAATAATATATCTTTTTATCCTGAAGAATATGATTTTTTTTAAACGTATCATCGAAAACGAAAAGTTGATCAGAACCACTATCAAAATAAATAAGATGAAAGGAACCCCAAAGTTATTAAAAAGGAAAGTAACCCTAAAGTGTTGCACGCTGTATCTGTCTCTCTATCACCTTTGACAAAAGAGAATCCATACTGATTTCCATATAATAATCGTGTAAATAAATGAGCTCTCGCCACCATTAAAACATTTTTCTAATGTCTTGATAATTATATTACTATTACAATGATGAAAAATATCACATAAACGATTCTATATCCGATAAATTTAACTTTTGATAAGAATATATGTCTGACTATATTTTAAGTCGCTATATGAGATTTATGTTCAGTGATATACCATACATCATGGTAAAGAGCTGTTGTAATCATTTTTTTCATAATCTAAATATTTTTTCTTCTGGA